AAGTGGAGCCTGTCGCAAACTAGTCCCATAAGTGAAAATTTTTCGCTATTTTAGTCATTCGGCGCCGGAGATGCCCGCGTGGCTCGCCGGAGGTAACGTGTCCGCCAGGTGTTGCTGACCCGGCGGACAAGTGGATTTTTTTTATTTTTTTTCATTTTTTAATTTTTTTAAAAACTTATTTTTAATTTTATTTGTATTTTTTTATTTAGTCCAATTAAAAAAAATTAAAAATTATTAAAAATAATGAAATAAAAAATAAAAAAAAATCCACGTGTCCGCCAGGTGTCGCTGACCTGGCGGGACGCCTGGCGGACACGTCACCTCCGGCGAGCCACGCGGGCGTCTCCGGCGCCGGAGGACTAAAACAGCAAAAAATTTTCACTTATGGGACTAATTTGCGACATACTTCACTTACTGAACTAAAATGATAAAGTGGTCCAGTTACGGGACTAAATAAACAGTTTACCCATTAATCAAAGCATGGGATTGTATCTTCATATTTTTTGCTATGAATTCCTTACTAAATGTATATAAATTCTTGGGGTTTGTTTCATTAACAAAAATTATTCGATATATTTCTCCCAAAAAATTAATATGATGTAAACAATCATTATTTTTATATTATTTATATAATTTTTTATACCTCGTATAAAAAAAAAATAGTCAAACAAAAACACAAAACAAACACACCCGATCATCTTTTAGAACAATTTGCAATTAAATATTATTTGGAGGTATTTAAGATTTTTAGGTTGGTTTGGAAATAGTAAAAAACTAAATCTTAAAAATAAATGTTTGATATGATTGTTGGATAAGATGTTTTAAATACAGAATATACATTCTAATGTATTAATATTTAAATAAATAAATAAATATTTAATGTAATATATTTAAAAATAAACTATTGATGAATAAAAAAATAAAATAAATATATTATATAAATTTGACAGCAATTAAGGTACTGAAAGCCCTCTGTGTTAGTTCGAAGGATTTGTATGAATTTATACTCTTCACACAAATTTTTCACCTCTCAAAATATCAAATTAAATATATATTTTTTATTTTTTATATTATATTAAAAATTAATTTTATATACAAAACATCACATCAATACATATTTATATCACATCATACAATTATTCAAATTTAATTTTTTTTAGTATTCAAATCTCAATACAAAATCCAAACTCCCGCACAAACACACCCGAAGTATAAACTTCACCCAAAAGTTACTATATAAAATAATATAATATATAAAATAATAGCATATGTAATAGTTCATACATATTATAATTTATCCAAATGCATAATATATAAATTGACAAGATATGGTAACAGTGCAAAGGCGGCAGATCGGACAGATCTATGGTTTCATTTATTTTTTATATATTGAATTTTGAATATTAATTATTATATCAAAATATAATAAAATTAAAAAAATTACAAAAATACTTCTATTAGTCTTTTATAATACTAATAGAAGGATATTTATACAAAAAATTATACAAATATATTTTTAGTATTAACTACAATAAAATAAAAGATAAATGTGACCCTTAGAAGCGGACTGAGAAAATATTTTTATAGTGTAAAAATAGAAAAAACCATACTATATATTTTTGCTAAAATGTCCTCCCTATTCAAGTAATTATTTATGTTTTTTCTTTTTTTTTTTGTTTCCTATTTTTTTCTTTATCTTTTTTTATTTTTTCTTCAGCTCAATAATATTGCTTCAAGATGAATCGAAAATAATAGTATCGTATTGGAAGAAATAAACCGGTATCTTGCCCCCCAAAAATCGAACGCTGGTTCCGTAACTGTCCATACTGATCCGGCCAAGTCAGCATAGTGCTGATTTGACCGGGTCAGCATATGTCATATGGATGATCAATATATGTTTATACATATTTTAGCATATCTTGTGTTATAAGATATCATATATTGAGTTATAATATAATACTATAATGTATTATAAATATGATAGAATATGTATAAATATATGTTGGTTACTCCTATAACATATGTTAATTCGGTCAAATGTACGATATAAAATGACAATACATAGTAAATATTTACATAGCATATACTACTTTAATTTGAGAAATAATTGCTCATGTCCTCGTTAGGGCAACCTATTTTTTCTCTTTTATATTATTATTTGAGAGCGTGTTTGGTTTTGATTTGATATTTAAATTTTATTTAAATAGTATTTTGATATAATATATTATTAAATAGTAAAATAATAATTTTATTAAAATATATATATTTTTTAAACACCCCACACACGCACACACTCACACCTTCAACGGGAATTTCACCCAACACATGCACACACGCACCCACCCAGGATCGGCCTGAGACCCAACCTTCAAGCGAGGATGTCTCACCTCTTGATCTACAAGAATTTAACAATAGTAGTAGTCTGTGTTTGAAACACAAATCGAACACATTAGGTTAGAAACCCTTAGGGCAAGTTTGGACATATTACTCTTTGTAGAGTTTGGAAATTAATGAATCTATGGAAAATTCATTAGCAATGAAGGCTACTTTCATTGTTATGGAAACAATATATGTCAATTCATAACTATACCACATTGAATCGAATCGATCGATCGAAGAAGTATAGATAAAGATCGACTAATTAATAATGTTTCGTACAAATAATAATAATAATAATATGTTCGTTTGGAGATTTGAGTTTTAATTTAGATTTTGAATATTAAAATTTTTTAATTGAAATAATTGTATGATTTGATATAAATACGTATTGAAAATAGTTCGAATAGAAAATTAATTCTAATAAAATAATAATTTTTTGTACAATATGAAAATTGAAAATATATTTAATTTAAATATTTTTGGAGTGAAAATTTTTAGTGAATAATAAAAATAAAAATAAAAATAAAAAAAAAACAAACAAACAAACACATTCTAAGTCAACCTAGCTAGTTGGTTCCGTAAGGAATGACCTGGTGGTGTAGGGGTTAGATTTGTGACTACGAGGGAGTTCAAACCCCCGACGCCTCAAGTCCATCTGCCACACATGTTTCCCCTAGTGTGACTTTTTCATCGGGCTTAGTTCGACCGGGGGTTTCCCAGTACCCACTTTTGATGGGTCATTTTGGACTTATAAATACACAAAATTATGAATACACCTATTGAGGTATTTTAATTAGTTATGTTTAGATTAAATTTAGTTATTTTAGATTTAATTTTATTCATTAAATTACATTGTTATGATTTGAATCTGTATGTCATATCTATTTTATAGATCTTTATTTTCACTATGAATACTAACTAACAACACCGTTTTCATAAAAGTAAAAGAAATTAAATCAAACAAACCATGAAATGGAAAACAATTCAAAATTATTTTGAATACGGAATGAAATCGAAGGCTTCGCAATTTCATTCCTCGACTAGTTTGATATAGTAGCAACTTTTAGGATGCGTTTGTTTTATAAAATAATTTGAAAAAATATATATTTTTTTAAGTGAAAATAAAAAATTATATAAATAATATATAAAAATAATGAGTATGTAATATATTAATTTTTACCCATTTCATTCCTTATTCGGATCAATTATAAATGACTGTGAATTCAGCTACGCAACCTCAAATGTTCTGTGGTGCCTTTCATTTGTTACTTTATTCATCGTTTTCTCCTAATACATTAGTTTTTATCTTTTTCACTCGTAACACATCGTCCCTACGAGATCAATTCATCCATATTGTTTTTTCTATTTTACGTTTCTCAACAGAGTTTTTTTTTTTATATTTTTTAAATTGAATTCTCTATTTTCCAGAATAGAAAAATCAAATCTCATTCTCTACTAAATTTTTTTCTCAACAATTCTATTTTATGATTTGTTCACATGCATTTTTTTCCTCCATTTTTTAATTGTTTAAAATTGTTACATTCAACGACTATTTGGGTGCGGATTTCATGTTGATTCGTTCAGGTCAGTATGGTACGCAAAATATATACATATTTCTATATAGTACAATATATATTATGTGATAAAATATCATATATTATATTATAATATAGCATATATTGTATTTAAAATATGTTGGGTATATATAATATATGTTGCTTACCTATATCATATATGCTGATTTGATTAAATCAGCATCGTACAAATGGTCTGCATGACCCAACTATTTTTATTTCGGAAACAAAATTGGCTACTGATTTTGCTGTATCACCATTAAAACTTATTATGGTATTACTGGGAAAAAAACAAAAAAAAAAAAATTGACATATTTTGGTTAATTTGAGAATAATAAAAAATCAAAATAATAATAATATATTTGATGTGACATAAATAACTATTAAATATAATAATTTTAATTAATATTATATTTCAAATAAAAAATAAGTATTTAATATTTTAAAATAAAAAAATACTAAATAATATAAATTTTATTTGAAAACATAAATAAAAAAAGAAAAAAGGAGCCTCAATATACCTAACAAGAATAATCTTGATGCCGTTGTATTATACTCCATCCATTTTTCATTTTTATTTGTCCATAACAAAATATCAATTTTTTTTTAGTAATTATACTGTATACTCAACATTACAAATACTCTTTCAATTTATAATATATTATCCAAATATCATTATTTTTATATCATGCCATATTAATAAAATTAATTTAGTATTTTTACCTTTATTTTTATTTTATCTCAAATCTCTGTGTAAAAAATAAATGAATATATAGATATAGAAGGATTGTTTACTTCCAAAATGTCCTCGTCTACTTTCAAATCTGACCACCAAAATAATTAAATAAATAGCCATAATTATATTGTCAAGTCATTACTTGCGTACGTGTATATATATATTATGTATTCAGATTCATCAAATTCATCAAAATAATAAATAATAAAAACCATAACAATAATAATAATAATAATAATAATAATGACAAGTGATAGCATAGAATAGAAAGTCAAGTGTGAGCATTGCCTGGCAAGCTCACTGTACAAACCATTGGTTATTGACCTCACAAATTAACCATAACCATAACTACTAAAATTTCTCAACAATTTCCACCAACACTTTGATAGAAATGGCAATTAAATCCTGCAAAAAAAAAATTTACATAATTAATTCCACAATTTAAATAAAATGATAATAATAATATAGAGATCAGATAGCAGAATCAGCTTACATTGATTCCCAACAATTCCGACACAACAATTCTTTCTTTTTTTTTTTTTTTTATGATTTTTTGTTTTTTGTTTGCTTTCAGTTGTTCGAAGTGCTGCTGTGGATAAGGAAAAAGCCCAGAATTCAATTTTGATCGAAAATAATTGGATCATGATGATAATAGTACAGTCTTTTTTTTTTACTTACCTATTGATGAATTTGTGCTGATCCAGAAGTGCGTATAAATTGGAGGAATGGAAATCCCAATTGTCGAGTGGGAGATTGGAAATTGGAATCGATGAATCTCTTGTTGAGGTCGTTAGGTTTTGCTGAAATCCCCAAATTGATGACGACGATGGAGGAGTGTTGTTCTTGGTCGACGTCGACGACGACGACGGCGAGCCGCCGGAGATTCTGCAGAAATCGTTCAGCTGATTGTTCATGTAGTGGATTGGGATTATTCCAGGGTTTGATGATGACTCGTAGCCGCCATTGACGTTGTTCATCTGCTTGATGCACATTTTCTCAAGTGTTCTTTCCCTCGCACGTGCTCTGGCCTTGACTCTCGATTCCTTTGCCGCGATCTGGTGAGGGTCTTTGACGGATTTGCCCTTGCCGGAGAAGGAATTGTCGACCGGATCGGCGTTTTCGGGGCTTGCCGGAGAATCGACCTCGCCGTCAGAAGGGGTGGGGGAGTTCTCGGCGGAGGCGGCGTTTTGCTTGGTCTGCTGCATCAGGTCTTTAATGGCGGCCTTCGATTTCGTCAGCAGCCAATCGAGGGTTTTGCTCGGCTTGTCGAATCCGAGGAGCTCCTGAAGGTCGAAGAATTTTCTGGCGATGCCGATCGACAGCCGCACGCGGCGGTCGCGCGGCCCCTGGGAAGTGTAAATTTTGCTGTGCCGGTCGCGTTTCGCCGCCGCGTTCTTCCTCGGACTCGCCGCCATCCCCATCGCCGCCGCCGCCGGATCTCCGCCTCTGCTCAGATTATTGTTATGATGATCAAACAACGAAACCGGAGGAGGGCCGCCGCCGCCGGAGGCGGCGGCGGCGGCAGCCGCCAAGTAATGCCTGGCGAGAAACTCGTGGTGAATCGACAAACCGCCGCCGCCGTTTATATCGCCGGCGCCGGATTCCGGCGGGAACATGTAGGAATGATTATTCTTCCCAAACATTTTAGAAACAAGAAACCCTAATTTCCCCCAAATTGAAAACCCTAATTGGCAATTGATCGTATCAATTCACAGAAAATGAAAGGACCACTTTATGCTCGCTAATGTCCGAAGAAGAAATAGTGAAGAAGAAAGACACACACATATATATATAGATACATATATATATATAAACATATACACAGACACATGATCAAAAAGGGTTTCATCATTGCACCTTTTTAAAAAACCCCAAGAAACTAACCACTAATTTCCACTACCCTCTATGGTACGACTGTTTTACCACACAGTAACCTCACAGTAGATCCCAATTCCGAGCAGCCCATATTAAGAATCCACAGACATGAATTCAATTCTGGAATAACAACAACAATGGCAACAATCGAACAAATTCAATCCGACCCGACCCGATCCGGACCGAAACCAGTAGGATTACAGTAGGAGCAGAAGCAGGAAAGAAACCCTAATCCTGATTAGGTCATTGTAAAAGAGCAATAATGTGTTGACAGGGAAGATAAAATTGAAATTAAAATTTATGAAAAAGGCTGTAATTACACCAGGTTTTAGGCATCGTAGACAGACACAGCTGCTTTTGTCTATCGGCCTACGCAATGGACAAAAATCGTGTCCGAAGGGGGGGCCCCATCGTGTTCGTGTCTTCTTCACAGAAGCTTGGGAAATAAACCCTCGTCGCCATTTTTGGGGTTCCTCAAATCTTCTGAGAAAAATAAAAAATAAAAATAACACTATAACATTAATTAATTAAATTTAAATTTAACAGATCTTTTTGGGGGCTACGCCCCCTCTCTGCCTGCTGGTATATCTTTAATTCAATCCTTTCTTTCTTTTTTTTTTCTTTCTTCAAATTAAATTAAAGTTTATTGAAATTTTAAAAATAAAAATAAAATTCGATGGTGAGAAAGATTAGATGTTTACTTTCAAGCTGAGGTCGGTTTTGGTTTGTTTGAAAGCAGTAAAGAGAGACAAGAACAGTGGAGAAATTCGGTAAGAACCCTAATTTCTGAAGGGTTGCTTTCATTCTGCCCTAATTTTATTTTCATTTTTTATTATTATTTATGTTTTTTATTCTTTTTTGTAAATTCAGTCTTATGTAGTTTCCTTCTGTCTTCTTCTTCTTCTTCTTTGTTTTCATTACAACTTTACTGGTTTTCTGCATTTCTTCTTCTGTGATTTCTTGGATCCAGCTGACTTTTGTTTGGTTGGATTTTTTAACTGAATAATTGATAAAAATTGTTTTTTTTTTTTTGGAAATGAAGTGGAGGTTACAGTTGATTAAAGAATTTGAATAAACAAAAAAAGAATATCTGTGAGTATGAGTGTAAACTGTTTATATAAATCTGGTAGAATTCATTTACGAGCATATTTGAATTGCAAGAGTGGAAAACCCTATAGATCTTGAAATCTTGTTTGGGATTGTAATTTCATGGCTCTTAATTTTTCTTGTAGTAATTTTATTTCATTATTTTTTTATTTTTTATTTTTTATTTATTTTTTAAATTGGGTTTTAGTGCTCAAAAGAAAATTATAGATTTATAAATGAAAAGGGTTTGGTTTAATCAGTTCAATGCTTTTCTTGATTCCTTTTGCTAGTTTTTTGAGCTTGGTTCTTGCATTTAAACTTTAAATTGATTCTCGACTTTATAAAATTTTCCCCATATTTGAAAATATGATGAAATTTAAAATTAATTCTGTGTAAGTGAATTTATTTACCTTTTGAAAGTTGACAAGAAAGACAGAGGGTAAAAAACATGAAGATTTGTGAAAATATCAATACTGTAAAAATATTATAACTCAGAGCGCACTCGCGGAATAGCAAGAACGAATTTTTATGTCATAGAAAAGAAATTTAAATATTAGATCCTGATAGTCTTACAAGTATATGTTTACATATATTATTATATTTTATTACATATATATATATATGATCATATCAAGTATTAATATATCATATATATAAAGAAAATTTGTTTTTCATTGGATATATAGTTTGATTACTAATTTTGGCTCATTATTTTGTCCAGTCAATATTTTTATAAATGGTACTAGTTTACAATTTTGGTAATCGATACAATACCGAAAATGTTAACTATTGTAACTTATATGACCAAAATATGAGTGTGAAAAATTATAGGATAAAAACTAATAATAATTAGACATACGTGGGTTGTTTGTGTATTTTTGGATGTTTTGAGTTGGAATTCAATCATAATATTTGGTTTCTTATGTAATATTTTTAAAAAAAAATAAAATAAAAATTGAATGTTAAATGTTAAATTTTTTTTGAAGAAATAATATAAAATTATAAATTGCATGTTGCATAAATTTTTAGGTTAGATAAGTACAAAAAAAAGTGCCTCTTTTTTTTTTTTTCTTAGCTAGGAGTTTTAGCTGTGTTTAGATAAAAAATTTTGAAGAATTTTTAAAATGAAAAAAATAAGCTAATATTTATTGTGATATTTATAAAACAAAATAAATATTTGATGAAATATGCTTTTAAAAGAATATTATTAATTAACAGTATCGAAATTTATTGAAATGCATAAATAAACCGAGACATGTGTGTTTACTCTGTAAAGTTTTGATTTTGGATAATAAAAAATTTTGAATTAAAATAGTCATTTGATGTGATATAAATATATGTTGATTTGATATTTGAATATAAAATTAAATTATAGTGTAATATAATAAATAAAAAATAAATTTGTGTTATATTAGGAGTATGTTTAACAAATAAATATATATTTAGGTATGTTCAAACTCATTTTTACACTATTCTATTTACCATTTTAAAAATATATATATATATTCACTATTTTCACTTCATAAACATCAAAATTCAAACACAACAATTTATCATCAAGATTATATAAACTAATTAATCTAGCATATGCTTGATTAGTTTTTTTTTTTTTTTTTTTAATTTGAAGTGTTTTTTAAAAAAAATATAAGTAATTGTATGGATAATATTAATAATAACATTATGTATTGAATTTGACTTTTTTTTAAATATATATATATATTGAGAATCATATTAGAAAAAAAAAATTATTTAGGTGAATATTTTGTGTTTTATTTTAGGTTAAATAATCAATTATTTTATTTTATTTTATTTTTTGGGAAATATTGTTATATTTGTATAGAAAAGCAACATGTTGCATGATTTAAAAAAAAAAAAAATCACAATAAACAAGGCAAATATTTTAGTAATTAAGATAAATTTTCAACACTAAGCAATATAATGGTACACAAGAAAGACACCCACTTTACATAAATTTGCACATAATTTAACATAATTTTAATTTTATTGAATATATATAAATAATGTTCAATAAATTTTCATAATAAATCAATAGTTTTGTGGTGTGGTTTAAAAATTTTGTAGTTCATAATTATATCAAGAATAAAATAACCTGGTGATATTTTATACATTGCATCATTTTATTTATCTATTATTATAATATATAATCATCTTTCAATAAATTTTTTATGAGCTTATTTGGTTGTGGTTGAAATTAATTTAAAATGAGTTATTGATTTGAAATTTTATTTAAATAGTATCTTGATGTGATATTTTGTAAGAAAAAATAGTATATCTAAAGAATAAATATTGATTTGAATTTGAAATAGTAAAAGAACAAATACTATGCAGTTCAACATATATTTATATCATTTAAAAATATTTTTAAAAAAGTACACTTAGCTGATTTGATCAAGTCAACATATGTTATATGGGTGATCGTTTATATCTCAACATATGTGGCGTAACAAGATAATATTTATTGAATTATAATATAATATATATTATAAATATGTTTAAATATGTATAAATATATGATAGTTATCTCTATAGTATACGTTGATTCCGTCAAATTAGTACTATGCTGATATATATATTATAAATATGTATAAAGATACGATGGTCATCTCTATAGTATATGTTCATCCGGTTAGAGCTGTAAAAGAAACGAACAGTTCGCGAGCTCGACTTGGTTCAGCTCGTTTGAGCTTGCTAAGAGCTCGTTCGTTAAGCTAAATGAGTCGAACACGAACATAAATTTTGGCTCGTTATATTTACGAACGAGCTCGAGTTTGTTTGCGAACGTTCGATAGTATTTATTAAAAAATGAAATTAATAGTTTTATATTTAATAAGTATATATATCTTTATAAATATTATACATTTTATTTTATTTTTTATTCAAATTTATTAATAAAAATTATAATTATTATCAACTAAATTTAATTTTTTTTAAAATTAAATAAATAAAATAAAATTTCTCTTAACGAACTAAGTCGAGCTGAATACGAAAAAAAAATATTAAACGAGTCGAACTCAAACAAAAATTTCAACTCGTATATCTTAACGAACGAACACGAGCCGAGTTCAAACACGACAAGCTCGACTCTATTCGGCTCGTTTATAGCTCTATCATCCGGTCAACTCATCCACTATCCATGTTCATACACTACAAAAAAATAATATATTTGTAACGGAATTCCGTCTCTAAAGTTCACGTAGCTAACGTAATTCCATTCCTAATTCCGTCTCTAATGTCATTAGTAACGAAAAAAGTTGATTTAGCGACAAAAAAGTTTTGTTACAAAAATAATTTTTTCTTGTAGTGATAATTTTGATATACTATAGTGAAGTTCTATTTAGATAGAGATTTTTAAGATTGAAAAATAAAAATAATAATAATAATAGATAGAAATTATGTAATATTTTATAAAAATAAAAAATTAAACATTTAATAGAATATTTTGAAGAAAAAAAATTAATACTAATAAATTATATCAAAATTTCTAATATATATATATATATCTCAATGTCAAATTATTGAAGATGTAATTATTAATTATATACAACAAAGATGTTTCTTGTCACATTATAAAAGTTTCACAAAAATTGCCAGACATGTGTCTTTTCATCATGTTATATTGTTATGTGTAATATTTATCTATTGTAATTTTATGGATATATTTTTATATGCATATTAATGATAATGATAACTTTGCAAAACTGATTTTATTTGGGCCGTTCGGCCCAAGTATATATTATTGGGCCTATCTCCTTATTTGAATTTGATGCCTAATTGGAAAATACTATTGGTGTGTTTTTCTTTGTCAAAATATTCCATATAATTCCAAAAAATTAATATATTACACCTATTAATTATATTTATAGACTATACAATTTTTTATAACTCACCTAAAAAAAATATCCTTCAAAACCCAAAACTAAAAACAAATAAACCCTATGAACCTGTCACTTTTATTATTTTTAAAATTTAAAATTTCGAAAACTTTTACAATTTTTTATTTTACACGCATTTTTCCTTCTTATATTCTTAACGAAACTGTACAACTAATTATTAAAAAAAAATACTAAAATTATATGATTCAAAACTTATGAAGCATGTGTGACAGACAATGTATGCAGTCGTCGAAAATTTAAATCATAATTTTACAGTCACAAAGTACATCCTCATACCCCGAGGTCATCCGCAAATTTTGCCCTACACTTGTGGATTATATTATTTTTCTTCATAAAATGTCAAGTATAACTATTATTTAAATACAAAATACAAATAAAAATTCATTAATTTTTATGTTTTAAAATTTTTTATTTGTGTCATGTTACAGTAATTAATAATAATAAAAAAAACACACACACAAGTACGTAAAGATTTGTTAACTGAGTTCGGTCAAAATAATGTATATTTGGAACGGTCAAATCAAATACTATATTAGTATTTTCATATATAATTACAAATACATACATCAAATCTATTTAGAAGTATATGCCAAAAACTCTAACACGTGGCCCAATAAAACTATTCAGACAATAGGTTGTGTTTGTTTGGGGGTTTAGATTTTGAGTTAGGATTTGAATAGTAAAAATTTTGAATTTGAATAGTTGTATGATGTGATATAAATAGGTTTTGATGTGATGTTTTGAATGTAAAATTGATTTTTAGTATAATATAAAAAATAAAAAATAGGTGTTTGAGTTGATATTTTTGGGGAGAAAAAATTGAATGAATAATAAGAATTTTGCAAAATCTTGCAAACGAACACATAGACTTGAAAATAAATTGTCAAATTGTGCATAGATGTAGCCATAGTGTATGGGTATATTATGTTGATATTTGATCTTTCATATTATTATTTGAATATTTAGTCCGTTCATGTAAGAAATATACATTTACTTTTGGTGCGAAGTTTATAAAATAATAGTATTTTAATTACAGTGGGTAGGTAAAAATAGTATAATGATATTTTTGTCCTTATTTTTTTTTTTTTATAAAAGTTATGATGTGATGTAAAGCAAAAGTATTTGTGAAAAAAAATATATATATTTAATAAAATCATTACTTTATAATTGAACGTTACAAAATAAAATATGTATTCTTTCTAGTCGAATGAAGAGAGTATTAATTTGAATGTAAAAAAAAATAAAAATAAAAATATAATCGTAACAATAGCCTAATAAAACAACAAATAATTGAAACATATATAAGATGAATGAGTCATCAACGCGTCAATATCTTAGATCAACCAATAAAAGTGTGACATAAAAAGTGCACAAATTTGTGTTGTCTTTGACCAAAGATTATGTTAAAACCAGTTATAGATTATAACTATATATATATTGTGCTGAAATCAACTATAAATTGATTTACCTGTTTATATATTATATTTGTATGTATTACCGAAGAACAAATAACATATATTATGGTCAAATACAACATAATTGATAGTAAAAAAACAGAATAATTATGTGATTTTATTTAGAGTGCGTTTGGCAATTAGCTGATAGCTTTTAGCTGTTAACTGATTCAATTAGTTGTTAGCTGATTCAATTAGCTGGTTTGACTAGCTGATTCAATTAGCGGTTTGTATTAAAGTGTTTGGTAAAATAACTATTTGACATTAATTGTTTATACATAAAATTACTATTAAGGACATTGATATATTATTTTTTAAAATATTTAATTTTGTTCATTTTGGTTTGAAATTTATGAGAATTTTTGTTATTAATTATTTAAAATTATAAAAATATTATAAAATATTTATTTTTATTTTTATTATTTAGATCCGAGAAAATTATTTTTACTAAAAAATAATTTTTTTTATTGAAATTATGTAAAATATAAAATAATAAATCTTTCGTGTATATATATATTTATTATGTTAATTATTATTTTAATATATATAAATAAATTAATAACTTTATTTTTTTATTTGATTTAGTTTTAAATTATATATTTTATAAATAAAATAATTTATATCTAATAATTAATAATAGTAATTATTTTAAATTTACAAAAAAAAATAAAAATATAATTTAATAAATTAAATATATTAAAAATAATTAATAAATACTGCTATAAAAATATATTTATATGTAAAAAATAATAATTAAGTTTTAAGGGTAAATAAGGAATAAGCAAAATTAAAATGAAAAAACTCTTTCAAAACGCTGGGTAGATGAGCTTTTCAGAAATTAGTTTTTTGGGTCCAAAAAACTCTTTTAAAAAGCTAATATACCAAACACCTAAATTAGTTTTTTAACCGGTCAAACAGCTAAAAGATGTTAAATAAAACGTTGTTTCTCAAATACCCCCTTAATATAGCACATGTTGTTTATATTTATATAGTGTGTTGATTGTCTCTTTGCTATGTGTTATCATCGTTATACTGAATTTTTTAAATAAACACAGAAACTTACACGTCTTAAATAAAATAATATGATATTTAATTTAATGAATTATTACATGTTATTACTAATTTACCTTAAATATTCTTAATCTTATAGTCTATTAGCATAAAAATTAACTTAAATACAATTAAATCCGACATATTAAGGGAGAATTAATTGAAAATTATTATATTATAGTTCCTAAATTAATTTATTCTTAGTTTTGATCTCTTAAATAAACAATAATTAAGTGGGATAAAGTAATTCTATCTTATTAGGAGCATAAGCTCTATGGTTATATTTACTTAGACTTTTTTTTTTTTTTTTCATATGTTAATTTTCACATACTTAGGGTATGTTTAAATTTGTACTATTTATCAATATTTTTTTTAAAAAAATATTAAATAAAACATCTATTTTTTATTTTATTTATTATATTAAAAATTTATTTTATATTCAAATCTTCGTATCAATACCAATTTATATCATATTATATTAATTCAAAATTTTTACTATTGAATATTAAACCCAAAATTTAAACCCTCAAATAAACACACCCTTAATTTTCTCTTATTAGACAAATATTTATTTTTTGCAAAATACTAATTTTCGAAAAATAATGAAAAGTCAATTTAAGATAAACAATAAAACACAAGACAAAAATATTACTACATATGTTGTAAAAAATTATACTTGATTGATTGGATATGTGTTTTAATAAAACTAGTTAATATTTAATTACTTTTTTATACTAAACGTATATATATATATAAAAAGATGATATTTTATTTATTACAAAATAAAAATTAAATATTTTTTAAAAATTTTAATATTAGTAATCAAAAAGAATATTTTAAAAAATATATAATATTAAATACTTCTTATAGTAAAGTCAATTTTTTTACTTAATTTTAAAATGTTCCCAAAACTTTTATTTCCACATGTTATTAGTTGCAATTAATTTTATATTCTGTTAGTTGTGAAAATAAATTTAGATACTAATATTCATTAATGGAGCGATACCGACACGCAAATGGAAGCTTCCGTGCAATTCCCAGATCAATCTTCGCCGTTGATTTTTTTTTAGAGATCTTAGATGATGGGTTTTCTGGAGCGGAAGTCCCTGTACCTTCCGAGAATTCAACTCCGGTCGGAAGACCAGGCTACTGTCGTCTACTATATATTCTCGCTCAGAACTCACCCTCGAAGCCAATCGCCGCCGTGAAATGGGCAACCTCATGAGCAAGGCGCCTCCTCACCGGAGCAATAGCAGAAGCCACCAGCCTCCTCCTCCTCCTCCTCCTCCTCCGCCGCCGCCTCTCGCGGCGGAGCGACCTGAGGGTACCGTCCCTAGCACCAATTTGGGCGCCGATTCCAATGTCGGCTCCGACGCGCAGATAAACCCCTCCGAGGCCGATTTGAGCTCGTACGAAGACGAATCGAGGTCCGATCCTGAGCTACAGACGTTTGAATCGACTCTACAAGCGCGCACAAGCCGCGCCATAAACTCCATCGCCGTCGACCTCGAGATGCGCTCCCTCTCCCTCAATTCGCTCCGAGAAGTCACCGAATCGCTCCTCGAAATGAATCATGAAGTCGCGAAGATCATTCTCAGAAACAAAGACGATATTCTGAAAAATCCAGAGCTCTCCGATCTCGTTGACGACTACTTCGACAACAGTCTATTAACCATGGATTTCTGCAATGCACTCGGCGTTTGCCTCAAACGCGCCGGCCATATCGAGTCGATTATCAATGTAGCTCTCCGGAAATTCAAGGAAGAACACCACGCGCCGCTTCCAGAAGGTTCTTCGAGGAATTATTCAAAAACATTGGAGGAACTGAACATTTTCCGCACTGCGGAGGCTCCATTTTCGCAGGAATTCTTCAATGTTTTCAATTCCGCTCGCACAAAGCAATATTCAATTCTGGCGAGGCTTCAATCGGAGAAGAAGAAGCTGGACAACAAACTGGGGAAACTCAAGGCATGGCGGAAGGTTTCCTATGTGATATTCGTCTCCACATTCGCCACAGTTCTGATATGCTCTGTGTTAGCAGCAGCTCTCCACGCCTCCCCTGTAGTGGCAGCAGTCGCCGCGGCTGCCTCCATGCCCTTAACTTCAATCGGAAGATGGCTCGACTCTATCTGGAAGAAATCTGAGAGGGAATTGAAGGGACAGGGGAAGGTCATAACTACAATGCAGCTTAAGAATTTCATCATCATCAATGATCTGGAGACCATAAGGGTGCTAGTGGACAATTTCCAGATCAAGATTGAGGAGTTGTTGGCGAATGCTGAAGCTGCAACAATGGAGGATCAGGCTGTGGTGATTGCAATGGAGGAGATTCAAAGGAAGGTGGATGGATTTGTGAATACTGTCCGTGAATTGAATGAGTATGCAGATAAATGCACTCGAGAAATCGCCAGGGCTAGGAATGCTGTGTTGATGAGTATAATCAATCATCCAAACGGGTCGAATCAGGAATTTGGTATGTTCCCTTGATGCTTACTGACTGTTTAATTGTCTGCACTTAGTAAGTTATAAGATCTTGCCATTGATGTATATGGATTCTTGCTTATCTAAGCTTATTAGATATATATATATATATAGTTCTTACATATGTGGTGTGTAACTGATGATCTTATTCTTGTTGTGCAATAGAGATGTTACAGAGAGTCAGCTATAGTTGGCCATTGATTGTGTTTATAATTTTGCATCTGTTTTGAGTTGTTTGTGGATTTGTGATTGATTTTGGATTCACATATTTTGAATTGAACTGTTATGATTGTGATTTGGGGTTGTTTTGGAGTATTTGGATGTTTTTTGTTTTTGTCTTTTTCTTTATTTTATTTACTTATGACGTCGGAATCTGTAGTAAATCCGGCCGAACTAATACCTGCAAACTAGACCCGATTGGTTGAGGCAATGGAAACAGGATTTTTTTTACAATGTTTTGAATTTAAAAGTAATAGTATTGTACTGATACTTTGAAATTGAAAGAATGTTTTGATATTTTATTGTTTGAATGGAAAAAATATTTGGATATAATGTTTGGTTGGTATTTGAGTTTTGAGTTACCCATTTGTACTGGTTTTACGTGATTTAAACAGTGAAGATTACTAAATTAATAATAGTAAGTCATGACATTACTTTCTCTGTCTTGCAATAAATAGTTTTTTTTTTTATTTTTATTTTTATTGTTTCGAGTGCTATTATTTAAGTAATGCAAATTAGTAAATTAATAATAATAAATTATAATAATATATATATATATTTTTTATGTGAACATTGTTGTTAATATTTTGAAAGTAAAAACTATTTGTTTCCTACGGCGAACACCTCCTTGTGGAAGAAATATAAGTGAAATTTTAAATATATATATATATATATATGAATAAATGGGTTTTAAATAAGTGGTTGAAAATTTAATTAAATTAATTTATATTTTATTAAATATATTTTAAAATAAATAAATTTAATAAAAAAATTATAGTATGTATGTATTTTGTTATTGGATTTGAATTTTTAATTTTAATTATCATGGAGGTGTGATACATAAAATATTTTTTATTGAATATTATAAGAATAAAATACGATAAATAAATACTCCCTTCGTCCCAGATACACTGTTCTACTTTATTTTATCTTAGGAGAGATGTAATTAGTAGATAATTAAGAATGTATTAGTTTAATTATAAATTAAGATTAAAATAACTAATTAGTTTAATTAAAATTAAAAAAAATAATATTAAAAAATTTAAAATGAGATGAAAGTGTGTAATATTTTTCAAAAAAGGAAAGTGACATGGTACATGGGACCGACAGAAACGGCAACGTGTATATCGTATTCGGGAGAGAGGGAGTATAATTTTTTTTTTAAAAAATATATGTAATATTTAATAATGTGAAAAAATATGTGTGCTTGTTTATGGATTTGAGTTTTGGGGTTTTGATTTTTAATAGGAAAAACTTGAATTTGAATAGTTGTTTGATATGATATAAATAGATGATGATGAGATGTTTTGAAACTAAAATAATTTGTAGTATAGTAAAAACTAAAATATATGGGTTTGTTTTTTGCACATGAATATTAGTATTATATTGGAGGAATGGTACGAATGGAGTAGAAAAGATTAAAATATGTTTATTAGTATTATGTTATATAAAAATAATGATATTTTTATAATATATTTTAAATTGTAAAAATATTTTTAATTATTAGTAGAAAAAAAAATAGATAGATTCTTAAAATGCAGAGCGAATATAAAAGAAGAAAAATAATTATTCAATTTGATTTTTTAAAATAAAAATAAATAATAAAAACCTGTAAAATCCAAAAATAACACAACCATAGAGATTTCAGAGATGTTTAATGTAATTGTAAAATTTAATTGGGGTTACTTGAAAGAAAGAAGCTGACGTGGACGCGGAGAGACGAGAGAGAGTGGAAAGGACACAAACCCTAAACCCACAACACAATCCACGCCCTGCGCCGCCGCCTTCCCCACCTCCGCCTCCGCCTCCGCCTCCGCTGCCGCCGCGGCCCGCTGAAATATCCGGTGAGTTATTTTATTTTATTTGCCTCTTTCTTTCTTCATTTTCCCTCTCCCTCTACTCCGGTGCTTCCATTTTGTCAGGGACATCGAGTATGTTTATAACATTTTTTTCATCTCTTTTCGTTTCCTTTCGCATTGTCTTCTACCGGTGGTCGCCGGTAGCTGTCGCCGCCGTTTCAGACTTTCGACGGAATAAAAAGAACATTTCCAGTTGCGAAAATAAATAAAATGGAAATTGATTTGTGCTAGTGCAGTACGAAGCCATTTTTTTTTTCTTTCGAAGAAAAAGAATATTAATTTATAATAATAACCTAAAACCCTTTTTCTTTCCCATTGGTAAAATCCCAAAGTCGAAATCCCTAAAAATGATACTCCGATCGCTCCTCCGATCAACCGCCGCCGTGCCGCCACACTTGCATATCTCCTTTCGCCGGGGTCTGGCTGCGAAAGCTCCAAAGCCGCCGGTCCCTCCCAAAGGAAAGAAACCACCGCAGAAATTCGATCCGAGGGAAGAAATGCAGGCGGCGACCCCGGAGTTTTTGGCCAAAGAAGAGGCGCAGCTCCGCCGCCGCCAGTTGGCTGAGGATGAGAAGAATCCAGCTCTTGACGTTGGACCTAATGGCCGCCCCCTTTTTACCTCTGCTTCTTCCCTGTCCTTGCTTACAAATGAGAATGTCAACACTTACTTCAAATTCAGGTATACAATTCTTCTTTTTTCAGCAGAAATATCAATCAATTGTCGAGGCGATTGATTGAACGCTTTGTTGGTTTTAGAGTGATGGAAATAATGTTCTTTTAATGTTCTTTTAGTGTACTTCCGGATGCATACTATTTGTGTTTTTAAATGATGAGTTTTCTTGCATTTATATGTTTAAAGTTGTAAATAGATCAGATGATTTGATAGTGTATAGGTGGTAGTGAATGGATTAGATGATAGTTTTAGATGTGATTGTGGTCAATTTTGTGTCTGTGTTTTGATATGTATGTGCAGAGGTAGTGTTTGGATTTTGATTTTGATTTTTTAATATTACTAATTATTGAACATTAAGTTAGTGAATAATAATAAATTTTGAATCTTTACATGCTTTGGGTTTCTAGTTGCGTTTTTATATGAATCAGAAGAGGAAAAAAAAAAAGCAAACATAGGCTTTGTTGAATGAAATATTAGTAAGAGATGCTTATGTTGTCTTTCGGTATTGTGTAATAGTTACTGTTAGATGTGCAGATATAAATCAGTGGATCGAAGAAACATGATAGTGTGGCACTTGGCTTTTACAATTTCACAGAATCAGTTTTTCTAGAATTATTTTCCGAAAGCAATTTTCCCTACTTTAGTAGCTGCTAATGAATGATTGGTGAAAAGATGTCAGAGGATGGAAGTTTAAGCATATGATCTTGGTTTGTAATCTAGTCGGTATGTGTTTGAAGATCACTCGCTATGTATGTGGACGTTGAATAGTTAATTATGATTGATGGAGGTATTTTTGGGATTTATTTGTAGCATGGAAGAGCTAAAAGAGGTGTTTCCGGAGGGCATACCAGTGGGGATGCTCACGGAATTTGAAGAATCTTGCAGGAGTGCCTTGCTGGTGAGACAATGTTTCATTGATCTCCGAGATAATTTCAGAAAAGTTGCTGATCCTTCAAATATAGCTAATTCCAAAGGTTCACCTCTAAACCTACTTTGTAACCATGTTGTCGTAAATATTGATTTTTGGCGGGGTAGAATATTTGCTTCTTGATCAACTGCAGGAATTTACTGTTATGACAAGGACAAATTTGGTTTAGGGTGTGTTTGTTGGGAGATTGAATTTTGGTTTGGGATTTGAATAGTAAAAATTTGGAATTCGAATAGTTGTATGATGTGATATAAATAGGTATTGATGTGATGTTTTGAATGTAAAATTACTTTTTAGTATAATATAGAAAGTGAAAATTAGGTGTTTTATTTGATGTTCTTGGAGAGAATTTTTTTTTTATGAATAGTAAAAAATTGGAGAAAGTTTTACAAATGAACACATCCTTAGAGTTTGTTTTTGTAATTTGACTTACACATAAATTATATAAGTTCCGACTGAAACACTCAATAGTTTGCATCGCCTTTTGGCTCAGTGGCAAAGCTCTAAATAATGATTTTATGTTTTGCATGCTAGATCATAGCCCGTTACTAATATGAATCATTAACTATTGTTTGCCTTTTGATAGCTTTTTGGGTTATAAATTATTAAGCTTTATCCAACCAAGAAGTTAGTTATGTTTTATTTTGAAGTGCTCTTGTTCTCTCATATTGTAAAGGAATATTCATTATATTACATGCTTACATCTTGATTAATATACATGATTAATAATGGTCCTACTTTCAGATCCCAAAGCCAGGAAGCAAATTATACTCGATGGTCCTGTGAGTTGTGGGAAAAGTATAGCACTTGCAATGCTTGTTCATTGGGCTCGCAAGGAAGGATGGCTAGTGCTATATGTCCCCAAAGGTCGAGACTGGACACATGGTGGGCTATTCTATAAAAATCCTCAGACTGGTCTATGGGATACACCTGTGCAGGCGGCGAACATTTTGCGTGTAAGGATTTCATTCTTCTTTCGATAGAAATGCTTACATTTTGTCGTAATTTCTTAGAACATATCTTGCTCCTGTATGGTTTATCATCCTCCAAAGTCCAAACTGCCTTTTTGTTGCTACCAATTCTATAGTCGTACTTATAATGTTGACAAGCACTTTCCATCAAATTTTTTTGAATTTGTACCTTCTTTTGGTTGTTGAATTTAGGATTTTTTGAGGTATAACAAACCTTGCTTGCAAGGGCTAGAATGCAATATACATGATCCTATACCATTGGGTGAGGGTGCTGGTGTTGGGCCGCCAAAGGGTATTGATAACATGCCAATTTCCGAAAGGATGACACTCTGCCAGCTTGTTGAAGCTGGAGTCAGTAACACATATGCTGCTGTTGGAGTGGTAGTTCGATTGAGAGAGGAATTGTCAAAGGTGACAAGGATCCCGGTCCTTCTTGCGATTGATCAAGTGAGTGATTATTATTTAGTATTTACCTGTTCGTTGATATTTACTTGTTAAAATCCATTTTTATTTTATCTGATTAATCAATTTTTGCTACATCTGGATAGTATAACAGCTGGTTTACATTCGCTGGATTTGAGGAACCAGTAACCGTTCGGTCTTGCAAACCCATTCATGCAAGAGAAGTTGCTACGGTGAGCTGTGATGAATTTTATTGTGGCTCAAAGAATTTGAGTTTATTACGTCATTGTTCTTTTAATGCGTGTAAGAGTGCTCATATATTTCTTAAAGTTAGAAATGAGAAACAAATTTCTCATAGAATAGAATTTAGGAACATTTGATTTTATTTATTTTTCATTTCTGATTAGTATATGACGATATGCATACTGAACTAAAGAAAATATTGAGAAAATACCACGAATCAGGATTCTTATTGATGCACTAAGTATGTATAGAGTAAATGATAGCCAGTTAATTACAACACGAACTAATCGAGAAGATAATTAGGGATTATGTAGGAGCAAGTGAAGAAGCTAATCTAGAAATCAATGATAGAACGAATCTAGGGATAATTACGGAAGCTAATAAGACAGCTCATTTAGGAATTGACTAATCTAGGAGATAATTACACCTAGATAACTGAAAATAAATTCTTAGGGTGTATTTGATTGTGGGTTTGGATTTTTGAATAGCAAAAAGTTGAATTTGAATAGTTGTTTGATGTGATATAAATAGAGGTTGATGTGATGTTTTGAATGTAAAATAAATTTTTAATATAAAAAAAGAAGAGTAAGTGTTTGATGTGATGCTTTTGAAGAGAAAAAAGAATCTGAATAGTAAAAATCTGTGGTAAAACCCTCAAAATAACACAACCGATGGAGTTAACTAGGAGAGGAGCAAACTTTAAGTTTAGATACTGTTAATTTAATCGACATTGTGAATTGTTGGAGTTGCCCACAACTGTTAATTTTATTAATTCTTTATCCTTGAGTAGTGTTATATCATGTTTATCATTTTGATTTTGCTTTGCTGCTTTAGGTATTGGGCATGATGATGCTAATTGTATTGTCAAATATGATTCTCGATTTTTGTAGGTTAATGCATTTAGGTCAATGATGCACGACAATATGATGGTGGGGGCTTTTTCCCACTCAACTGCTGTAGGGAAATTGCGGCAAGAATTGCCGGATGTTCCTGTTGACGCCCGAGTGTATCTCCCTCGCTACAATTTAGATGAAGCCGAGACTGTCTGCCACTACTATCTCAGGTACACTTCAACTTTATGACATATCATCACCATTTTCGAATTGTTTGAATGGTTGGTTGGTTGGTTGCAGGCAACGAGTGATGAAACGAGAAGCATTCACGGAAGAAAATTGGAAAAAGATATTCTACTTATCCAACGGAAATGGAACAGAGATGCGACGCTTAGTTCCGTTTATGCGTTGATAGGTAATTCTTGTACTGATATTTGTTTTCCCATTCCCGCCGGGTTTAAAGTAGAGGTCGGGGGAGTTATGGAAGTTCTCCAACCCCGACCCCCCGGATATTTTTCCCGGAAAATTTATTTCTTGCTTTCATAATGTAGACGACTACTGCTTCTCTTAGAATAACGAATATCATTTTTTTTTTTTTTTTTTTGCTTCTTTGTGGTGTTGTATTCTTTACACTCTTGGGTGGACTTCGATTCAAAAGATATAGGACAATCGAATAATTTTTGAGTTGTATAAGTTAGATCTTCTATGAACATGTGGAAAAACTAGAGAATGATTAACTATTTAAGTTTATGATCATGCAGCATTAATATATATAATTACTAAATATGTAATGGAAATTTGAATAAATTTAAAAATAATATAAATAATAACATCGATAGTAAAATATAACAAACATAATGACATGGATAATATCATATTAGAATCAACAAGCATGATTAGTAAGTAAATTGATCGTTAGATTTTTATTTTTTTTTTCGTCAGAATTCAAATTTTCACCTATTGCAACAATATTTTAATATTTTATTTGTAAAAATTATTATTATTATTTTTAATTACTTGGATAAGACTAATCATTTCTTAAGTTTTATTTCTCCCATAGTAGCAATGTGGCCCAAATATACTATAATTTTTTGCAATTTGGGCTTTTCACTCCTTTTTTTTTTTTTTTTTTTTTGAAGAATTGAAACTTGATAAATATCCCTCATTTTTGTTGATTTTGGTATTTTTCAAATCACCACTATTATAAATAAGATGTTCTACAAATGGTATTAGTAGTACAATAATTTTTACATGTATTTTTACATGTTATTTTAGTTCATGTTTTAACTTATGTCATGAGCTGATATATGAAAACTTACCAATAGAATATATTTTATGTCTTATTTAAAACATCGTCAATAGACTACTCAATCTTGTCTTTTTTTTTTATTAGCATACTCATAAAAATCAACAAATTTTGACATATCTTAACTAAATATTTTTTGCCAATAAATTTTACATTAATTTGAATTTCTTTGTAATTGATAAATTAGTTATAGGCATTAGATACGAGCATAACAGTCAATTTTTTCTTACTTTATTGGCGGCAATTGTGCGACCGATTGACCACATTTCTAATCAAAGAAATAATGTACGTACGATCATAAATTAATTTCTTCAATTGAAAACAACACCAGAAAAATCCAATTCAAATATTTAATCAATTACGAAACGATTAAATTATTTAATCATGCAATTTCTAGGCAAAACTTGTCAACTTATTTACGATTTTATCAAACAAGTTCACAATTACAGAGGCAAAAGTTCGATTGACACACAATTGTTAAACCAATATAGAATTCGGCCGCGATAAAAAGATTAAATAAAACAATTGTAGACATGAATCACAAAAATTGCAGAAATACCAATTCAATAAACAATATTCAATTTAAATCAAAATATAATCTCGCAAATTCAAATCTAAAATCTAAAGTTTACCTTGAACTAGAACAAGAGAAACTAGCTACTGATAATGACGATCTTCCGGCGCCCTTTTTCGTTCTATTGCTTCCAAGTCCTCAAGATATGAAATGTATGTGTAAATCGTGATATCTCATCCAAGGCCTTGATCTCCCTTTTATAGACGATCAAACTTTCAATTGACTCCTTAATCGCTCCTCGATTACTCATTTCCATTTTCACGACTATAATCACGCATCTATCCTTTTAAATCACGACTTTCATTGGCCCGCACGCTTAAATCAAACACTTTAATAATTCTTTGACCGAACATTTGGTATGAGCGTATAAATCACTCAATTCTCTTGCACCAATTAATAATATGTTAAAAATAAGTATAAATCTATCTAAAATATTAATTATATTTTCTATAATTTATCTATAAAAATATAGAATAATATATGTTTTATCACTTTGCATACTTGCATCCAATTTATTTTTCATATAGTATTTAATTAGAATGAGATATTCTCTTCTAAAAAGCGAAATATTTTTATTAGTACTTGAAAAAACAGCGTTGTTTGCATTATGCTATTCACTAACAAGAAGTAGAACTTATGATTTTTTTTTCTTCAGTCTCCTTGGTTGGATTATCGACTTGCGCATCATAAGTTTACGTACAAAATTTACGAATGTCTTTAGTATGTATATTTTGCATTGAACAAGGCGGTGTAAGATATGGTGAAATTTCAAATAATTGAAAATTTGATGGATAAATATTTGGTGGAATAAAAGGATAAGACGAATTATAAAAACTCGAGAATGTTTGATAATTGAAGTAGAATTGTGGTTTACTGAATTTTGTGAAGATTTTTAATTCCCGAACATTCATAATACTATGAAATATAAAATGTTTTTGAAAATTTGAACGAGAATAGAATTAACTTTATCTTAGGCACAAAGTTAAACCGAATTGTAATCATAGACTTGAAATTTGAAGCTTGAACTTGATTTGATGAAACTAAAATTTGTTCATTTGTATAGCTCAAATGAACATATGATATTTAACTATATATATTTATGTATAAATATACACAAAAGATAGCTACTTACTTATTCTAAACCTAAGTCAATGAAACTTGAATATGGATCCAATGATTTGAACATAGATATGATTTTGAATTTTAAAATATGACATTAATAGTCTTAGAGGTAAATATTACAATATTATCATGATATAACATATAATAGTCATAATGTTATAGATTTTGATCACAATAATCATAAATTGACAATTTCAACATGACATTGATGACCTCAAATTAGTATAGTGAAACTTTCTGAGGGTGTATTTGTCTGGGGATTGGATTTTAAGTTGTGATTTGAATAGTAAAAATTTTGAAATATTTCATATATTTTTTATACGATACATGTTTTTTTGTTGTAGTATTTCTACATTTTTTTAAAGCATCTAAGTCTATATACACCATAGTTCTTAACTTTTTGTTTTGTTTGCCAAAATTTTGAATTATTGAGACACTATTTGAATTAAGTGAAATTATTTTAACTTTATGAGTAAAGTGCCACAACTAGAGCCTTTTGTATGTTGTTTATTCTTTATTTGTTAGCCTTCAACATATATCATTTTTATATACACAATATTTTCTCCTCTCTTAATAATATTTTCTTTATGTTGCAGATCTCCCTTTTTAGTTGTTGATTATCTTAATTATTTTACTTTACATAATTTTATTTATTTTATCACACTATTACTAATATATATAAATACAAATAACATGTGATTAACATCATTCAGCCACCAATTAGTAAATTAAGGTAGAAAATTTAACCGCAATATTATATATGCATAACATATCATTAATATTTAATATACATTTATAAATATAGGCAACATATTATTAATATTTATTCAAAATATTCGAATAATAATATGCATATAAACACAAATAGCACATTAACATTTAATCAAGAATTTATTTAAATACAAGCACTACATTACTAACATCTAATCATGGACGCAAATTTGGTGCTGGCCTATCAACTGACTATTAAAATCAACATGGTGTTAATTTGATCAGGTCAACATATCACATAAAGACATACGACATATATTTTTGTATAACATAATATATGTTGTATTATAAGATATTATATATTGAGTTACAACATAATATATATTGTATCATAAATATGCTATGATAGTATATATAATATATGCTAATTATACGTTTATGTGATATGTTGACCTAATCAAATCAGCACCATACCGATTTGATTGGGCAAGCACGGGATCCGCAATCCCAACTCATCGAGTATAAACCCGCAAAGAACGAAACCCTAATTCTCTAATTTCATCTTCAATCCATTCATTCTCATCGCATCATAAATAAATATATGGTGCTTATCTTTTAATTTTAAATTTTTAGGTGAGATGATCAATAGTATCATCTAATATGGTATTAAAGTCGTATGACTCTCATATGTAGATAAATAAATATATGACAACGTATTCGGTCAAGCTTAATATTTTAGATGAGACAATTATTAACATCATCTAATAATAATAATGACTAAATTAATCTAATATAATTTAGTCATTCGATTTTCCTCTTGTTAACCTTCGTTGTTCAATAACTTTTAATTCCAAAATATAAAAATATCTTTAAAGCATAGAAAAATACTTAAGAAGACCGTTGTCTCTATATATATATATATATATTTTTAAATATAGTATTGAGGTTGTTCATTTTGTATTTTTGTTAAGGAATATATTTTTTATATTAAATATAAAAAATTGTTTTGATTATATAAAAATAATATTTTTTATTAAATTATTGATTTTTTTAATGAATAATATATATTTTATTATTGTTTGTATATTATATTTTTATAGTAATATTTATAAGGAATTTGTTCAATTAAAAAACACTTAAGTGAACAAATCCATGCTATTTTAGAATAATATACAATTTTATTATTATTATTATTATTATTATTATTATTATCTTGGAGTATGATGATTGCAATTAAGATGAGCTTTTTATAATTTGGATTTATTTTTAAGAACCGAGTTCCATGTAACTATATTTCATTCTAACAAATTTTGATTCTATCCGACTATTTATTTTTTTAACAAATTTAAATATTAAATAATTTAATAAATTATTCAAACTTATTAAAAAAAAAATTCATTTATCCTACAAGTAAAATCAACCTTACCTAAATTTTTCATACTGTATAAAATTTTTTCTCCTATTAAAATTATCATATTCAACACTTATTTATATTTATCAAATTCTATCATTCCATAATTTTTATTTTTTTTATACTATATTGAAATAAATTTAAAATTAAAAATATATATCTCCGTTTAAACATATTATTATATGATATTTGATAAATATATATATTTATATATATTATATTTTTTAAAAAATGACTATAAATAAATATATATTTATCTCGTTCAACAACAGTGCAATTCAGCAGTAGGAACCGGTCCATTTCATCCAACCACGTGGCACACGTACGAAGACCGTTCCGGGAAGGCTGGAAACTGACCACAAAACGACGACGTATTTACGCCCTTAGAAATAAACATCTTCCAAATTTTAGGCCTTATTCAAACCGGCCTTGGGGCCCACTTCTAATTTTGGTATATTTAAATTAACAGTAATTATTAATATATATTTTTTTATCGGAATATTTGTTCTTGGTCCGTTTTTGGAACCCTACAAATGAGAGAGGCCTTCACCAACCGTCTTCCACAATTTCTCAATCAATTCGGAGAGATTAAACCCTAATTTCTTGATCTGCGTTGTTGTACTTCCGCAATGGCGCTGTTGAGGAAATCCTTGGCCCATCGCCTCAATACTATGTCGAGGATCAATAGCCGTACATTAACAAACTGCCGTACATCGTCGCCGCGGACGGTGGTCGGATCCGCCGCATTGAATCACGTACGCGCGCCGGATCCCGGAGATGAGGGGATATTAAGGCGATTTCTACACCGCGGTCAGTCGCCGGCCGCCGTGAATCCCGCGGCGCTAGGGTTCGTCCCTACCGGGGAGAAGTTACTGGAGAAGCTTCGAGAAATGGATGGTGAGAGGAATCGACGGTTGAATCCGCCTGCGGCGGCGGAGGCATCGATGGCTGGGAAAGTAACGGTGGCGGATGCGAAGAAGATTCTACGCCTGTCGCAGTTGGAAAAGGTGAAATCGAATCTGAGGCAGATGAAGAAAGACTCAATTACGTATCTAGAATTCATGGAGATTTGCGTTAACGAATGCTCCAGCGTCGATCAAGGCCTGGAATTCGCAACAACACTTGATGAATCGGGGACAGTGATTGTTCTCGGGAACGTCGTGTTCCTCCGGCCGGAGCAGGTTGGGATTTATTTCTTCGCAATCAATCCCTAATTTTCCATTAACTGAATTCAATCTAAACTACATTCGATTCAATCATTTGTTGATAACACCAGAAGCCTTAAAACGTAGACGAAGCTCAAAATCACCATAGATTGAAGTGGCTAAACTCTTAATCTGGTTTAAATTTTTGTTCCCCATGAATTTGATTTGGAGACTACTGAGGACTGATGAGCTTTTTTTATTATGTGTTTTTGTTTCTCTGTTCTTCCACAGGAAAGTATTTGGCCCCAGATCTCTTAGAACAAGATGGTGACCTTTTATTAGAGGGTGGATCATTCATCTTTCATCAATTGCAGAATTTTCATTCCATTGTTAAATTAAAATTCCTTCAAACATATATTATACATATATATACATATATATATATACACACATTGTGATCTAACAGAGAATTGATGACGGGCTTGTTTCTATGTTTCGATTATTATTCTCTTTGGTTTGAGTTAAGGTAGAGACACATTGAAAAGGATCTCCATCTTTTTGGGAGTCGTATAGGTCTAAGCAATTGAGTTCTTCGATCTCTCTTTGCCCTCTTTTCTGATAGATCATTTCAAGAATTGTGAATTGTAGGTCGGGTATCGATTTCTGTCCATGTTTATAGTTAAGACAGAGGATTCGACTGTTTGGTTTTGTTACTAGTTTGTTTCGTAATTCTTTGGGTCTGAATTGTCGAGTAGGCATTGATGTTAGGAGGTCGATTTTTTGTTTTGATTGGTGATGAAGTTAATTGAACCTAAGGAATCATACTAATGCATAGAGGTAAGTGAATCTATATTTTACCCAAATCTTGTGTACCATTTCTTTCTTACAGGTAGTGAAAGTCATCGAGGGATTAATCCCGGTGTCCTCGCCATCTGTGGATGATCCCAGAATAAAGGAGTTTCAAGAATTGGACAAACAGAAGGCTACAATCGATCGCACTGCAGAGGCGTCAGTTAAACGGGAGCTCAGATTTGGATTAGCCTATCTTGTCGTCCAGACAGCAGCCTTCATGCGACTAACATTCTGGGAACTCACATGGGACGTCATGGAACCCGTTTGTTTCTTCGTCACGTCGGTTTATCTCATGGGAGCCTTCGGGTTCTTCCTTAGAACAGCGAAAGAACCTTCTTTCGAGGGGTACTTTCAGACCCGATTCAGCGCCAAGCAAGGACGGCTGTTTAAGGTTAAAAGATTTGATCTTGAGAGGTACAATGAGCTGAAGAAAGCTTGCTGTTCGCAGTCGCAACGATCCGAACACTGAATTGCGTCGGTTAATTCTAACCTTGAAACACTAATTCTGGTAAGAACATTACATTACATTGAATCCTGACAAAATAGTTTTGATAGTTAGATACAATTTTGCACTTAATGTAGATTTTGTTGCGGCATCTGTACCATATTTTGTTGAGGCTTTATTTCATGCAATGTAATACAAGAAAACAATTTTCTTGCATTGAAATTTTTGGATGTTTGTTTGCATTTCTTGTCACGTTTCAAATTGGAGAATTATATTTTATTGAAGAAAACGAATATATATATATATACTTCTTCAGTCCAGGCGTTTGAAGTTGATTAATAAATAATAGTATTTTAATAGTTTTAAAAGTAAAAAAATTTAATAGTTTTGTAAGTAATTGATAAAAGTTATGGAGGTATTTTGATATTAATATAAATATAGAGTAGCTTCTCAATTATTGAATTACATACACTTTAAATATATATATATATATATATATCGAAAGTTATTTAAATAATTAACCCTAAAAGCGAATTTGCTTCACAATACATACAAATCTAAAACCTAATAAATTCTCTAAAAAAAAAAAAATTGTATATCTGTATAAATTATCGTCATATAGTTACATATCCGTTGTATCTTTGACTGGTTCGAGTTTTCCGGCCGGCGGCGGCGCGGCGGTGGAAAGGGCAGGGCGGCGCATCTTCACGTAAAAATTCACGAAGAGGAAGAGGAGCGCGCCGTTGAGGACAGAATTGAGGAGCCAAGCTCCGATTCCGTTGCAACCGCCTTTGAAGTAATGGAGGGAGAGGACTCCGACGTGGCAGAGCAAATTTCCGGTGAGGAGGAGGATGTGGCAATTGACGACGACGGGGAAGCAGGCGGCGGGTAATCCGACGGCGGTCCAGAAGCGGTAGGAGTAGACGACGGCGTAGACGAGGGAGGTGAGGAGAATGGCGAGGATTTGGAAGGACTGAGAGAATTCGAGCCAGAGGAAGGAGGAGAAGATGAGGGTGGAGTGGTTGAAGAGCTTGAAGAAGGAAAGTTTCCGGCGCCGGAGAATGGCGAGGAACGACCGGAGCGCGTGGAGGAAACGCGACAGGTAGTAGACGTACGACCAGAAGAACACGCGCCCGGAGGGGCGCGTGCCGATCGGGAAGCAGAGGAGCCACTGAAACGGCGTCGTACGCAGCCGCCGCCGCAGCCACCGCGTGTCGCGGAGTTCGGCGGCGGCGGAGACCAGGATGCCGGTGAAGATGGTGGCGGAGACCAGGGCCATCGCGAGGGAGTGGAAGGCCGGGAGTGGGCCCACCGCCACGGGGCGGCGGTGCCGGAGGAGGAGGCGGAGGAGGCAGTGGAAGACGACGGCGGTGGATAAATAGAGGGCGATTGAGGAGAAGAGGAATGACCACGTGGAGCCCCATGATTGGGTGTGGCTCCACCGGAAACCGACGATTGAGGGGTGCTCCGACAGGTGGTAGCTTATGAAGGACGCCATCGCCGGCGCTGGTTCTTGCCGGAAAGTTCCGCCGGAAATGGCAGAATTCGCCGTTAAGGAAATTGGAGCATCGCCTGCGATGAGGTCTCTCGGATTTAAGGGTGGGTGAGATATTCGCATCTCATATACGACCGACAGTATTGGGCCACGTGGCAGATTTTCATTGGGCCGTCACTTTTCAGTAGTGGTGCTCCTTGTCACGTTAGAGAAGATATAATCACAATAATTTATATAGAAAATAATAGTAGTAGTAGTATATATGATGCCTTGCCTTGTCTGGAGTATTATTTATTTATATACTTATTATTATTAGTATTATTATTTCCTTTCCTGTCAAGGCTTCGGTAAATGCATGCGATGATACAAATAGTAAAATTTTGAATTGAAAAAATTATCTGATGTGATATAAATTTATATTGATATAATATTTTTAATATAAAAGTTAGTTTTAGTGTAATATAATACATAAAAAAAAAAAGTTGAAATAGTAAAATCGAAAATCAAATCTCACAAGTAAATTTTAAATATTTTATCAGTTTTTTAAAAGAATATCAAATCACTGTTTGTTCAATTTAGGTGTGGAAATGATGGTTAATTTTGTCAAATAATTTAACTAGAGTTGGGCCAAAACAATCATGGCATGGGGAATATATTAGGACACTGATAGTTAGTGGTTAGATATGACCAAAATGGGCAATCTTCTTGCCCCATATATTTAATTATATAATGTGATTTTGTACACAAAAAATAATAGTTACATTTTATTATTTTGGATCATGTTGTTACACATTCAAAATCGATAAGTCATATATATATATATATATATATAAAAGAAACACATGAATTTAATCAAAGAATTTTAATTTTTTTTTATTAAACAAAAGCTAATGCTCGGACTTAGTTTCGGATTGTGCAAGTTTGTGCATTACCGGCCTGACTTGTCATCGATAAAAAAATAACTCCACGGATCATTTATAATTCATGTATTTATTTTATAATTAATAAATTATAATGTTTTGATGGGAGATAATAAATATCATTTTCATTTAATAAAATGTGGCTAAATACAAAATGATCGCAACTTTTGAATCTATTATTTTACTCGAAACAATATTTTAATTTTTTAAAATATTTTGATAATTCTTAGTGACTAACATAAAAATCCCCCTTTTTTTTTTTTTCACGTTTCTTAGAAGTGTTGATTACTCGAATTCAAGTAATAAAATTAAAATAAAGTAAGACCATTTATATCTATTGAATGAATTGGTCATGAGTCCGACAAAATTCATCAATGGAATAGAAAGAATATGCTTTGGTAGCCTCAAATTAAAATTAAAAATATTGAAAACATCTTTTTCATGTGATGGGACATGATTAAAAAAAATTTAATTAATTATACTGTCTCCGTCCGCAAGAAGATTGTCATGAATATTTTTGCATATTGATATTTGAATATTAATTATTATATCAATACGCCATAGAAATCAAAAGAAAAGTGCAAAAATATATTTATTAGTCTTTTATAATACAAATACAATGATATTTTTGAATAAATTATTTAAATATTAACAAATAAAAAATAATTGTAGCCCTTAAAGTCGGACAAATAAAATATAATAGAAATTATTATATTTTTCTTTCTCATTTCAATATATTCAAATAAAAAAGGGTGAGTGTATTTTATTCTTCAAATGAAAATTTTATTGATTATTATATGAATAATAATATATTCTAAATTTTGGTGTTTTGTTTTTTTTATTTTTTTATTTTTTTTTATGCCTTTGAATATGACATCTTATATAAATATACATTTAAAACTTCTAGTTTTTATAAACCAATTTATTTTAATTATATATAATATATATTTTATTTATTTATTTATTTGTGCTATAAAATTTATTTTTTTATAAAATAAGATCCTATTGAATATATTATACTTTTGATTTTAAAAAATATAACATGTTAATATTTAATTTAACAAGAAATTATAATAAACATATACCATGTGTAGAATATATTGATCAATCATGTAATATCTGGTTCGAATTTTTCTCTAAATTATTAATAAATAAAAATCTTATTTCATGTAAAGTAAGATTTGAGTTATAACTTATAATCTCTAGAGTATAAAATATTCTACATGTACAAACATATAAATTATCTATAAAAATATACTTAAATGATTAAAAATAGTCAAAAATAGAAAATATATAAATTAATTACACAAAATGCATGGATAAATATATTCATATGTTTACGTATCTTTTTAATAATTCCTTTGTCCTTGTTTTTATGTGTGTTTATGTAATGTTTATTTGGTACAACTAAGAGCAACTTTAATCCAGCGCCATTATGGCGCTAGCAATGCCGATTTTGGTGTTGCGTAACCCAAAAAATGGGGTTGCTTTATTATTATTATTATTATTTTAATTTTTTTTAATTTTTTTTTAAATTATAAATTTAATTTTTATTTTTTTAAATTTTTAAAAATTTTATTTAAATTATAAAAATAAAAAGTTGTTTAAAATAATAGGAAAAATTGAATATTTGAAGAATAATAGTGAAAAATAGAATTATCGTTAAAGTAAAATTACTGTAGCAACTGCATAGAGTTAAAATTGGATAAATACAATTGATGGGTTAGAAATTGCCTTATCTCGTGTGTGTATATGATGTTTATTTAAAGCTACTTATAGATTAGGGTGTTACCATATTTGATACTTTATAGGATAGAACAAATTAAAACAAAATAACAGATTTCGATTCCCAATCTTAAGCAATAATATAGTCCAAACTCAACTCTAAGTACTCCAACCTAATTTTTTATTTAAATAGGATGTAATCCAAATCAACGCTATATTCAACCTGTATAATGTTAAATAAAAATATATTATTATTTCTTACAAAATATCAAATCAAAATAATATTTCAATAAAAATTCAACTACAACCAAACAAACCTTAATATAAGGAGAAGTGATTTTTTTTTTTTTTGACTTGAGAGAGAGATTGATTCGATTGGTTAAAAATTAGGAAAGATTTATTAGTTATATATGATTAACAACAATCGAATAGAAATATATTATTATTTTTAGCGGCCTCATAGATACTATTTTGCAATATATTATAAAATCAAAGAAACTGTTATTCGATATATAGGACGATATAAGGAAACATATTTCCATTATTTTGATTCACACAAGAAATTCCTTCATCCGACTAAATTCATATTCTTTGTTTCCTCTTTTTTATTCTGACCCGAACACTTATTATTGCACCTGAGAGCACACCCGGGATTCATTTTCCCGTCGCTGCAATCTTTGAAACACTTCTTGAAGCAACTCGCAAAATCCGCTTGTGAACATTCTGGTAGGATAACGAGCGCTACCATTAAGAACACGATTACGAAGCTTGATTTGTTGCTCATATTAACTTCTATTCTTGTTTTTTAAATTAGATTAAACACGACTATTATTTTTATATTAAGGATACAAAGCAACGATATATATATAGGGTTTATATATATGTATATATATAACTTTATATGCATAATTTGATTATGAAAACATATGAAATATATATTATGATGGTGTAGTGTGTGATTTTGAAGTAAATAAGATTTGTTTAATAAAAGTATATACTGTATTAAATGAGATTATTTGATTCGTTTCTAATTACACGTGTTTTGTACAAGGAATTGGGTTATAAATGAAATTTTTATTATATTGTAAATTTATATAATTATAATATTGTTGTAAATTTTCATAATAATAATAATAATAATAATAATAATAAGTAGTTTTTTGAAATTTAAGGTTAAATAATAGTATGACATGTTCACTTTGTGTTTTTGGATAAATATATATATTTTATGTGAAATATGAAAAATTGTATCAACGACATAAATAATAATATTTTGTATTAAATTATTATTATTATTATTATTATTTTTGTGGATGAATATAGTATATATATATATATATTATATATTGTGTTAATAGGTTGAACAAACCCTTAGTAATTAACCAACCCTTCTTATTAGTTTAAAATAACTATGAAGGTTGTATGTTAGATTTGAAATTGAGGTTTTGATTTGAATTTCATTTAAATAGTTTTTAATATAATATTTTGTAAAAAAAAATAATACTATATTTTTGTTGAAATCTTGCCGCTAACAATGTTTACTTGTTTTTTGAAATGTAAACCAAACACAATAGATATAGAGTGAATAGAGAAGTCGTTATATATTTATATTATATATGTATAAAATAATGTAGTTTAGTGGTGTAGGAGTGAATTTATAATAATGAGGTCTTGTATTTAAATTCTTGATGTTTCAAAAATTTAGAAAAGCTTTTTAACACTCTTTCCGTCTCAAAATTATAGTATGAGTTATTTTTTATACGAGATTTAAAGAATATTGATATTGTATTGACAGTGGATAAAAAAGTACGAATAAAAGACTCTGTTGCCCTCATGAGTGTATTAGTATAAAAAATAATGGCAATTGTGTAATAATAATGAAAAAGTAACAGTAGTTTTACAGTAATATGGTTATTTATGAAAATGAGACTATTGTTTTGGAACGAACAAAAATGGTAAACATGACTATTGTATTGGGACGAAGGAAGTACTATTTTCCGTCTAAAAATATTAGAAAAATAATTTATTTTATTATAAATACAAATATTATATACAATCTAGGGGTCTTTATTATTATTAATTTTTTTGTCTCGAGCCCTTCGAAAGTCAAAATCATCCCTGAATACAACGTGATAAAGAAACTATTCAATACTGTGAATAATATATATTATCAGGTTATAACCAAGATCGAACAGGTATGCGATCTAAATACCATGCCTGTTGAAGCGGCTACCGAACATTTGAAGGCATTTGAGAAGCCTTAGATAAACAGATAAAAATGACAAAATGTACTCTCTACGTCCGTCTTCAAGAGTCATATTTATCTTTTGTGTACTTAACATTAGAAATATCTTTATAATTGTATTTTTGTATAAATATCATTATATTGGTATTATAAGACACTAGTAGAAGTTTTTTTTGTCATTTTTCCTTAATTTGTACTATATTTTGATATAATAATCAATATTTAAAACTCAAACAAAAGTAAATATGGCCGAGGGAGTATATCTTTTAAATTGATAGATGAAGGTTGTATTACTATTCAAATTCTTTTTTCTCTAAAAAAAAATATCATATTAAACAAGTATTTTTTTTATATTATACTATAAATTTATTTTACATTTAAAATATCTCATAAATATTTATTTATATCACGTCAACCAACTATTCAAATTCAATTTTTGTTATATTATACTATAAATTTATTTTACATTCAAAATATCTCATAAATATTTATTTATATCACGTCAACCAACTATTCAAATTCAATTTTTTATTATTCAAAAAAATCCAAATCCAAAAACCCAAACCCAGAAACAAACACACCCGAAGTATATAATAAAATTTTTGAGAAAAAAAAAAAAAAAGAAGGTTGCCTACGCCAAAATAGAACAGTAGTAATTCTAAGAGTATTTCATAAGAAGATGCAAAAAGGCTGCCAGGAAACGTCGTCGTTTTGCGCCCCGGTGAAATTTCCATGCAGTTTCCTCCTCACGTAATTTCTCAGAAATTTCCCGCCATCATCGTCCATCTCCACACTACAAATACTTCACTCACAATCTCTATCTCCATCTCCATCTCTAATTACAAAACTCACTCTGTAAATTATCTCTACAATTAATTAATCATCAATGAAATCTCTAATTCAATCCGTCGAACATTTCTGTTCATTTTCTCCGAAGAAGTTGCTCCGCCGCAGGCCGAAATCCAAGTCGACCTCCTCCGGTTCCGGGTCCGGGTCCGGGTCCCCCAAATCGGCGTCAACCGTCGCGCCGCCGCGGGAGGAGGAGCTGCGGGAGGTGTTCCGCCGCTTCGACTCCGACGGGGACGGGAAGATCTCGGCGCTGGAGATCCGATCGTACTTCGCGTCGGTTGGGGAGTACATGTCGTTCGAGGATGCTCAGGCGATAATTGAGTACCTCGACGGGGATAGCGACGATTTTCTCGATTTCGAAGATTTCGTGCGGCTGATGGTGGAGGAGGACGGCGGCGGAGATAGGGAGGAGGATCTGAGGGCGGCGTTTGGGGTGTTTGAGATGGAGAGCGGGTCGGGTCGGATCACGGCGGCGGGGCTCCAGCGGGTTCTGGGGAAACTGGGGGATCCGAAATCGTACGATGAGTGCGCCGCGATGATTCGGGCGTTCGATTTGGAAGGGAAAGGGGAATTAGGGTTTCATGAGTTTCGCCAAATGATGAGATGACAATTATAAAAAAAAAATTAATTAATTAAAAAAAATAATAAAAAAAAGAGAAAATAATAAAAAAATGAATTTCAATTTCAATTTCAATTTCAATTTCAATTTCAATTTCAATTTTATATAAGTCAATATTTTTCACAAATTGTATGAAATTTACTGGAATAGTTAGGGTGTAAGACTTAATTAGGACATATATAGGGAATTTTATTATCATAATATTATTTGAATTAATACAATGTATATATATTAATTAGTTTGTTTTACATATACATATGTTAAAATATAAATGTGTTATTTTTTGAGTCGTATGAGTCTCTATAAATATAATATATATATATATTTTAACACAATATATATCTAATATATATTATTATATCAAAATATAGTACAAATTAAGAAAAAAATACAAAAATACTTCTATTAATATCTTATAATACTAATAGAAGGATATTCGTATAAAAGTTATACAAATATAAAAATATTTTTAATGTTAAATACAATTACGCAAAAGATAAATACGAGCCTTAGAGCAGATGAAGTGAATATTATTTTTTATATTATTGGTACGATTCCTCGTACCAACATAAAAAAAAAAAAAAGATAAAAAAATACATTCATAAAAAACACAAAGTAAACAAATACATATAATTTAGTTAAATAAATGCAATTACATTTTTGCAATATTTTTGTAAGTTATAAAAGAGTTTTTTTTTAAAAAAAAAAAAATTAGATAGATAATACAATTATTAAAAAAAAATGGTTTTAGTCCTATCAAAATAAAAACGGATATATTGACATAAGACAAAGAGTATTATTTTATTTTCAAAAGTTAAAGTTTATTATTTTTTGAAATATTATATTGAAAATTATATTTTAGAAATAATACCCAAAACACCAACAAAACATAAATATAAAAGGGTTTGTTTTATTTTAGGTTAGTTTCGAAGTTAACATTACCTGAAATTTGGTTAATAATTTTGAAAATAATATCGCAATAAATTCTGGTATAATACCTAAATCCATTTCGTGTGTTAAGATTCAAAATTCTGAAGTTTTATTATAGTATTTAATAATTTTAATATTAAAAAAATATATATATAAAATTTTCGAGTCGATTTCATTGTCAATGCTATGAATCTTGAAAATTTTGAAACTTTATACTCCCTCCTTCCCAGAAAATATGGGACTATTACGGTAGATACGAGAATTTAGGTAAAGTATAATTAATAAATAATTAAAAAGTGTATTAGTAAAAATAATTATTATTTAGTAAAAATAATTATAGATTAAAATTAAGATAAGTAAATAGTTTAATTAAAATTAAGAACATTATAAATTTTAAAATTTAAAATGCGATTAAAGTGCATAATTATATTTTCAAAAATAGAAAGGACAAGTTACGTGGGACGGACGAAAATAGAAAATATGAATAAATTATGTGGGACAGAGAGAGTAATATTTTTAATATTTAAAACTTTATTATACTTTTAAATCTAGTTGAATGTCAACGAGCTTTTTTTAGTCCATTTCTTATGCTAATTCTAAAGTTTTTTATATTTTATTTAGGAATCAATTCAATATCTGAATTATTTTTTCGAAGCAAATAACCATTTTTTTTTTGGGAGTAATTTAGAGTTTAGTCAGTAAATTTTAAATTAAAATAATTATTTAATATGATATAAATATATCTTAACATACTTTTTTAAGTATAAATTAATTTTTATTATAATATAAAAATAAATATTTAATTTGATTCCTTTAGAAAAAAAATAATCAAAGACATGATTTAGGTTTGACCCGGCAAACATGTATAATTAAATTTAGTTTAGATAAAAATTTCTGAAGAGATTTCCTGCTGAAAAAACATAATTCAGCATGTGTGTTGAATCTCATAAAAATTATTTATCTTGATCATATTAATAATATAATTTAATAATACAAATAAAACTAATTATTTTTTTAACATAATATATACTCCCTCCGTCTCATGTGATATGAGTGTATTACTGTAGACACGAAAACTTAGGTAAAGTATAATTAGTAAGTAATTAAGAAGTGTATTAGTAAAAATAATTATTATTTAATAAAAATAATTATAAATTAAGATGAAGATAAATAAATAGTTTAATTAAAATTAAAAAAAATTATAAAATTTAAAATTTAAAATACGATTAAAGTGCATAATTATATTTCCAAAAATAGAAAGGACATGTTACGTGGGACAGACGAAAATAAAAAATAGGAACAAATTATGGGGGACGGGGGGAGTAATATATAGCATATGATCCATTGCCTAAAGATTCAGCAAGTTTTGAGTTTTTAAAAGTTTAGGTGATTAATTAATAGTAATATAAAAAATTTTGAGAGCCGGTATTAAAAAAATATTGTATTAGATAGTTAATTAATTTGATTGAGTAATATAATATTTATAATAAAGTGTTGATTAAGTAATATGTATCGATTTGTTCTCATATCATTTCAAACCAAAATCAGTATTATTCATTTGCACGGTTTCTAGTAAAAATATAGTATTATTTTCTCTCACAAAACATCACAGTTAAAATACTATTTAATTAAAATCTCAAATTTAACCTCTGATTTCAAATCAATTTTAAATCGTAAAAGAACATAGCTAAAGTGTTATTTAAAATATTTTGTATTTGATGAAATAATAAAATAAATGTTAGAATATTTTATTTTATTTAAAACATTTTTTATTTTATTTATTGAAATTATTTTTTAAAAAAAAAACTATGGTATTGATTCTAAGTAATACATGCAATTAGATAATAAAAAAATAAATTGACTTTAATAATTTAAATGCAATTAACATAATAAAAAATTATAACTATAAAAATTTTAAAACAAAGAATACATCAAATTCTTCGAATTTGATTGTTATAAGAACGATTTGTTATGACAGACCAAAATTTATATCGCTTATTGTAATTAGAAAAAATAAACTAATTTCGTGCAGCGACTAAAAAACGAAAAAATGAACTACTTTGATAGGACAGAGTGACTATATATGAACAAAACATTAATCGTCTATAGTAAACATACCACTCAAAGTAAAAAAAAAAAACATTCTATAGATATGATGGTTACATTAACGGACATTGTCCGAAGAGTTAAAAAAAAAAGTCAACGGGCAATAATGGAATTCGCAACATTAAACATTTCGATCGATTCAAACCTCGAGTTCCAAGTAGGGGACGCTTGCGCAACAACGCTCAACCCGAACACGATCTCCCCGATCGTGGGGCGGTCGAGGCTCTTCTCGGCCGTGCACGCCCTCGCCAACACGGCCAAGCTCAAAGCATCGTCGATAGGGCACGAATCTTTCAACGACGGATCCATCCACTCCGCCAACGCCTCCTTCCTCCGACCCTCGACATCCAAAACAACCTTAACTTCCTTCCACGCCGATATCCCCTCCTTCGTCTCCATAACCTTTCTCCCCGAAAGCAACTCCAAAAGCACGACCCCGAACGAGAACACGTCGATGTTCAACATGACGGGGCACGTTGCTCGTCTCGCTGACCCAAAGTTACCGATCTTCGCTTTGAACCTGCCGTCTAAAAGAATGTTACCCGTCGTGATGTCCTTGTGGACAATGCTCGGCTCGGTGTGCTCGTGCAAGTATTGGAGACCGTTGGCGACGTCCAGAGCTATCAGCAACCTGATGTAGTAAAGTTGAAACTTGAAATTATTTTTATCACATATAAAAATAATTATAAAAAAGAAAAAAAAAAGTCCTTTTTTATCACATATGAAAATAATTATAAAAAAAAACTTTCGGCGATGTCAAGAGCTATCAGTAACCTACTTTAGTAAAGTTAAAATTGTTTTTATCACATATGAAGATAATTATAAAAAAAAAAAGAAAAAAGATCTTTGGCGACGTCAAGTGCTATCAGCAACCTAATGTAATAAAATTAAAACTGCTTTTATTAAAAAAAACACCTTTGTTTCCACGTAAGCGTTCGCAAAGAAGCCGGGATCTTCGGGTGGAGCCATGACTCGAGCGATCCATTCTCGGCGAACTCGTGAACAAGATAAAAATTCCCGTCGTTGTCCGAAGAAATTCCCGATAAGTTCACTAAATTAGCGTGATTAAGCCTTTGTAATATTCCTACCTCCTCCGTCGCATCGCCCGTCTTCTTAACGGCGAATGCGCAATTGTCGATCACGGCTTTGTAGACCGAGCGACCAATCTTACACCGTTCGTTAAAGTTCATCGTCGCCTTCACGATCACATTCGGATCGTAAACTATTGGCTTTCCGAGATAGCCCGACAAGCCCGGCAATATTTTGCTACTATTAATCGCCTTCGACTCGATGTCTTCGGAATTGAAGGCTTTTTCCGAGGGGTCGAAACCAGACCTTGTCGACGACTTCCTTTTTTTGTAGAAGAAAGCCATAAGAGCTAATAAGATGATCAAGAAAGCTGTTAGAGAAGTTGAAATTGCTGTTCGGACAGTTCTGGATTTCGTCTTCTCCGATGGAAAACGTTGCCGGAGGATCGGTAAGGATTTTGTAGGTATTAATACGGGAAGACATAAGGCTGAGGTGAAGTTCCGATTGTTGTTAGCTCGAACGATATCCGACGGGGACACCTGTGTTACATTTTTTTTGAGAGAATTTATGTTATATTCAGCTTAGTAATAATTTAATCTAATTAGCAAATGTCTATAAAAAAAAATAGCAAATCTATCACATAATATATAATACATTATATAACATACTATATGCTATATATGTCTATGGCAATTTGCTAATTATTTCAAATTAATGTACTAATTTTGTGATGCGATATATATCGTGTAATGATTTGCTATTCCCTAAACCCTAAAATCAGCTCCCTAACCACAGTTATATATACATATTGAATAATGAAATCATATTTATATACTCCATCTCTCTCCAGTAAAATAATCGAACCCTATTTCAGAAAGGGTACACTAGTAAGTTATTAATAATAAATTACGATATTATTTTACTCCCTCAATCCCAAAAGATTTGTCTTAGTTTTTCCATTTTTCTCCGTCCCAAAATAATTATCTTGTTTCCTTATTTAGTAGTCGTGGTCCCCACTTTATAACAAAATTATTCATATTTTCATAGTATCTCTAATTATTATTCTAACATACTCTTTAAAATTCTTCAAAAAGTAAAGGCATATTAGTCATTTATATTCTACTTTATACCCATTTTAATTAAATATTATTATTTTTTAATTCTCGTGTCAACTCTTTCAATAAGACACTTTTTTGGGACAGATAGAATATTATTTTTTTATATGAATAGTATCGTTGGTATTTTAAAAATATGAATCCATATATATAATTAAAAAAAATTAAAATATATATTTAAATATTTTTAGCACTGTATCTTAATAATATATATATGAATATCATTTTATAAATAATAAAATTTTATATATTACAAATAAAAATTATTTATTTATTTATAATTAATTTTTGTAAAAAATAGAGAGTTTTAAATACAAATAAATTAAAAAATTTTGTTTATTGAAGAGATTTTGAGTGAATCACGATTAAATTTTAATTAAATTGATTTATATTCGTTAAATATATTTAAAAGTGAAAAAAAAAAACAAAAAAGAGAATAAGTCATTTGTAACGTTACGAAGAAAATAATCGACAAAAAAACTATATATATTGTAACAAGTATATAAATATATATATATATATCAAAAACCTCGAACATGTTTCCGACGAGGAAGACGTCGTCGCCAGGCTGCCATACATAAGTGACGAGGTACTGATCGCTCCCCTTCCCGATCTCTCCGGGGCACTTACAAAGCAACGGGAAGACCGCCGCCGCGCCGATCGTCAGATTGTTCGGCTTCAACGCCGGATTCGCGTCGAGGACGAGATGGTACTCGGTGAGGTTCTGGAACTCCCGCGTCGAGACCGAGTAGAACGTGTCGCCCCTCTCAATCGGGTACGTCGCGTTCGAAAAATACCGAGTCCCGTTCGAAGTGCACGTGATCGGAATCAATAGGACCCGGTCGGGGGCCAGCCGGGCATCCTCCGACGTAAGATTGTTCACGGCGGCGATCGACATTCGGCTGATCCCGAAAAGGTCCGACACGGCGCCGAGGCTCGACCGCGGCGATCGGACGCGGTACGTGACGAATGTTTGACACGTGGAGGGCCATCCCGGAGGCTGTGTGAAGTCTGTAGTAACATTGTTGTTGTCAGCGGAAATTAAAGACAGTGCGGAGATGGAGAGGAGGGAAAATGTTGCAAGGAAGGACATTGTGGGTTAATTAGGACGGCAAGAAAATTGAATTTGTAATTTTGTATGGATTTTTTTTTTGTGTTTGGAGTGTGACAGAAATTATTGATAAATTAGGGGTTAGTGGGTTTTGTGAATGAAACGACATTTGTGTTGTCGTTTTGCCATGTAGGATCAAACGCTAGAGACAGCCTTAAGATACCTTTTGATTAGTCGTAGGGTTTGATTAGTGTGTTGATCATTGATTGCCTTTTGTTGTTAGCAACTTGCACTGATTAAATATAATGATATTGTATTAATTATAAATTAATAATTCTTCCGGCTTATTTCGAAATGATCGTCTTTTCTTTTTATTTATTTATTTATTAATTAGTAAAAATATGTAAAATAACTTGATATTGTCGTTTTATAAAATTTAAATTAAATAATACTCCCTTCGTCTTAGATACCGTGTCTGCTACACTGTAGACACGGTATTTTATAAGGGGTGTAATTAGTAGATAATTAATAATATATTAGTGAAAATAATTATCCTATAATATAAATAATTATAAATTAAGATTAAGATAACTAATTAGTTTAATTAAAAAGTTTAAAATGAGATTAAAGTGTGTAATCATTTTCCAAAAAAGGAAAGTGACATGGTATATGTATGGTATATGTGATGGATAGAAACGACAACGTGGACGTGATATCTGGGCTGGAGGGAGTATTATTTTTGTAATTTGGGTAAACTAGTGGCATTTTGATATTTGTATGTAGAGTATTTTTATTAAATTAGAAAATAGATATTTTTGAGTGAACGAATAAAAATGTATAAAAAGTGCTTGGATTTGGGACAAAGAAAATATATAATAAATCGTACATTTTTTTCCTCTCAATCCAAAATAGTTTTGTTATTTCATTCTTTTGTACTTTATGTATAAAATAATTAAATATATTTTACCATTAATTTGTTATTATTTTTATTATAATAAAAAAGAGAAATTTTCGAGTGAATAAATATATTAAAATGATAGTACATATAAAATATAACTTATAGCATATGTAGCATGTTTGCGCTATTAATTTAAAAACTGAACAATATTTTAAATCTTGCACACATAAGTAATATTTCAAAAAACACAAGTAAAGCCTTACCCATTTTTCCAGGTACGTCCGGCTCTAAGGGTCTCATTTATTTTTTATGTATTGATATTTAAATATCAATTATTATATCAAAATATAGTACAAATTAATAAATAAATTACAAAAATACTTCAATTAGTGTTTTATAATTATAATATAATGACATTTGTACAAAAAATTATACAAATATAAAAATATTTTTAATATTAAGTAGCATAGAGACCGGCAGAGAAAATATATACATACAAACAATTAGCCAAAATGTATAATTTATGCAACAATACTAGTATTATTCTAAAATCATAATAATATTAATTATATTCAATAAATAAAATAACATATTTGCAGAAGTTCTAGACATATATTCGGAAGCTCATAATAATAATAATAATAATTTTGTATTCATACAATAGAAAATTCAACTGACTTTTCAATTAATATTATAAAAAATAAAATATATCATCTATATTAACAGAATATTTAAAAAAATTGTAAAAAATATTTTACACTTATATTCTTTTATAACTTTTGTCTAGTTGGCAAAAATATATCTCATATGTTACAAAAATCGCTATTTATGTAATTTGTCTGCGCATGACATTCACGTCACGCGCCTTTGACCAGATATATTTTGCAAGCTAGGTAAACACACAACAAAAGTGATAATGGGGTATAAATGTGAAATATTTTTTTGCAATTTTCCCACAAAACATTAATAATTTAATACAATTTTTTTTTTTTTTTTAATATTAACGGTACAATTCCATAGCCTAATATAAATAATATATTATTCAAAAATACAAAAAATTGTTTTTGCAATTTCTCAAATGGAAAGTCATTTATATTTCTGTTCATCAATATAAATATACCTAAGACATGCATATGATATCTATATCTATATTTATTTTCTATGGCATTTTGATATTTCTTTTCATCAAAATACTAACACTTCAATTGTATATTACCTTTTTCATACGGTAACTTCTTCTTCTCCAAGCGCTCCTTCAAAGGAAATCAGGGAAAGCAGCCGGTCAGCAGAATATGGTCCAGGGTTCTCTTCAGCCCATACTTGACAACTGCCCGATTCCCTTCCCGGAATCCGTCGCCGTACGCCGCCGACCCGTCCGTCTCGATCTGGTGCAAGAAGTACTCGCCAAGTTTCTTCTCGAACTCGGACCGTTTCCCCTTCTTCGACGATCCGGCCGTCGCATCGGACGGCGGCGGCGCGGAGGAAGAAGACGACGGCGCGTCGCTGCCGCGGGACGCCGAAATGATTTCGGAATCTAACCACATGTGAGCCAGCACTTGGCAGATGCCTTCCTCGACGTTCGGACTTAACGTTGGGTAGCCCTTCAGCCGTAGCCACGCGTGCATCATCTCGTGCGCGAGGATCGATCCCGTGAGTAGCCTGGATCGATGAGATTAAATCGATTAGATTAAGTGTTCTGGATTTTATCACAGGATTATACTACAAATTTATTTTACATTCAAAACCTCACATTAATATCTATTTATATCACATCAAACAACTATTCAAATTCAACTTTTTACTATTCATAAATCCAAACTCAGAAATCCAAACCCACACCCACAAATTCAAATAACTATTCAAATTCAATTTTTTCCAATAGAGTCGATGAAATTATAACGACGTTCACCTTGGAAGTCCGTATAGTATAAGAATCGCCGTCACTTCGCATTTCCGGATCAGCTTGTACGGCTCCGTGAACATGTCGATTATCCGATACCCTCCGATTCTCGGCCTCCTCGATATCTATAACGCATTTATTGGCAAAAAGTTTCGATCTTTGTTATTTTCGAACGACGAATTTATAGCAACATACCGTTCTAACGATTAGTTCTTCCGACAAACAGAGTCCTCTCGTTTCTGGGCGGTGATGATGACCCTGCAAAGCGCAAATCGATCGAAAAAAAAATTTCCATCGAAGATTATCGACGATAACGAAAAAAGCTCGACCTTCTTCTCCTCTTCCATGGCCTCGTTCAGCGCTTGTCGCTCGACTAAAAGTAACGGTATCGCCTGCTCGACTTTCATGTTTAAACCTTCGTAAAACTCCTGTATTTCGAGGTACAACGGCTGGCATTCGTGAGTCTCCATTATCGACGAGTCCAAGCACTCGAGGCAGAGCTTCCTCCCGTCCTCGAGCGTCAAATATCTCGCGTCGACCGGCTGCATTTTCCGTTTCTTCACATCCATACCTTTTCTTTTTATCATCTAATTTTGGGATTTGAACTTACCTCCATTCTTTCGCAGCTGCAGCATCGAGGCGTCTCGTCGTGCTCGTGCAACGGGCAGTACTTTTGCGGCCAGAACGGGTGCGCTCTGTACTCTATAAGTCCGGCAGCATTCACCGGGATCTGTCGTAATACTCGAAAAGATTAGCAAAAATCTGAAATTCATAATTCCGTCGCTAAAATTTACACTCACGAAGTTTTTGCAGACGTCGCACTTCGGATGATGCAGCTCTTTGTAGCAAGATTTATGGTAAGGCCGATTTTCGGACATGGAGAACTGCAACAGAGAATGAACAATCAACGTTGGAAAAATCTTTGAAGCGTTAAAAGTAATTGAACAATCGAGAACCTCTGGTTCGTTGATCGGAAGATCGCAAGCTCGACAACGGAAGCATTCCGGATGCCAAAAGGCTCCAATGCTGCTTAAATATCTTCCATAGCCAATCTCCCTATTGCAACCAGCACAGACTCTGCAATACAGACGATGAACTTTATGAACTTTCTTCAGAGACAATTCGTCGAACACCTATGGTGCGTAGTGAATCCATTAATGTCTGTCTAGCTACATTTTCGGATTGAGCTCAGATGTTCATCAATGGCGGCAAGTAGTTTGGACTAATAATTAATTACCTGTTTCCTGAAGGATAGTAGAATGGATTGGGGAAGAAGGAGCTTCCATAGTCGTACGGAGATGCTCGAGGAGGAGAATCCATGATCAGACTCTCCTGAATAGCTCTAGCAAGCTGTTCATCATCGTCTTCCACATTAGACTCGGTCTCTTGCAAAAATCACGAAAATCGCCGCTAATCAGCCAGATGTTGCAGAGATTTTTTTAGTCGATCGATTAAATTATTGATTGATTAATTACCTATTACTTTCTTCCCTTTCTCGTCCTGCTCAGCAATGGAGAGTGCGATAGCTCGATCGATCTCTTCCCTGTCGAAATCGGACGACTCGTCCTGTGTTGAAAATTCGAAGCTATAAATAAATTCAAATCTCATCAGAAATTGAACTCTGTGAGGATATTTGATTACCTCTGAAGCAGCAGCAAAAGCTCCATCGGAATTCACCTCCGCCTCCTCCTCCGCCGCCGCCGCCTCGCCGTCATCGTCGTCGTCATATCTCCGGCGGCGGTTTCGCCCTTCAGAGATTTTGTGGCTCGATCCTTTGAGAATTTTGGTAATCCAACCCATGAATACCCAAACCGATTCCAAATCAGGAACGCATCACATATTTCCCCAAATTGATTAAGAACACCGAACTACAAAAATTGGATCATCAAATTGGTAAGAGAGAAAGGCAAAATTAATCGATACTGAGGACTGAGAAGCGAAGGAATTGAAGAACCCTAATTTCATTCAGCAACAAAAATCAACATCAAGAAATCAGAAAAAGCTGACACAAGAAGGTACGAACACTTTCCAATTTCCCCACATAGTATCAATCGAACAAAAAGCATATAATCAAATCATGCCCTCTTTTAAAACCCACAACTGTCTGCAACTCTTTCCATTGTGAAAAGGGCAATGAAGAAACAACTAAATAAATGGGTAGGTAGAAAAGATCATGCAGTCTAAATACAGCCAATTATTCATTATCTAATCCTACCTTGACTTTTGATTAAATTTCTACGATACATACGTACATATGTAAATATATCTTCATTTATTTGATCTGGGCTTTCATCATTACTTCATGACAACTAATGTTTTCATTTCTTCTCTTGTCAAAAAATGAGATCTTGGAATAATCGAAAAGTGGATTGCTCATCAATAATCATTGGCTATGACACTATATTGATCTGTTGCTTTATTACAAGTGGCTGAATAGTGAAGTGAGGTTTTGGTTAAGGAAAGGGATGGCAGATGTGATCGATCAGACAGACCCTTTTCGTAGGATGTCTTTATTTTATTTTTTGGGCCTTATGAGTTATGATCATTGGATCGCTTTCCCTTTTAGATCACTCAAAGGCAGAAGTTTGTTTGTTTGTGTAGTAATGAATGAGTGCTGTTGATCGATCTAATTCAGGACTGCATGGAAGTCAGGATTCTTCAATGCTCTTGATCATGTATTGATCGATATTGTTGAATTAGAAATGAGTAAATGTCAAAACAAACTAGATATACAGTATTTTCCAAAGGTGGAAAACCAAAAGTGTAAGTATTTAATGTGATAATTACACTATAAAAAAAATACTAGTATATTTGTAATGAAATTTCGTCCTTAAAATTAACGTAGTTAACCTAATTTTATACCTAATTCCGTCTCTAATATCATTAGTAGCAGAAAAATAAATTTAGGAAAAAAAAAACCTTATTACAAAAATAATATTTTTTTTGCAGTGATAAGATCACTTCTGTTACGGTGGTGGTGGTGATACATAATTAGTCAACGCTATACTGATTAAATCTCAGTCGTTGGATTTGAGAATGGTCAATAATAATCATAGTTAATTTTGTAATTATACTATACACTTTAATGTGTAAATACGCATATATAAAAGAGCACGAGGTAGTCATACGAAAGCAATAATGTTGTCTTTTTTTAATATATATTTCTTGCTTTGATTATTCAATCACAGTAGTTTTATACATAATTAATTTTATATATAAACGTACAAACTCTAATACTCCCTCCGTTTCATAACTATGTATTCATTTGTTTTTTACACGAGATTTTAGAAATATTAGTATTATACTAGGATGCAGTAGGAATAAAGTAGAAATGACTAAAATAACTGGTGATATAAAGATAATAGCATTTGTGTAATATATTATAAGTTGTAAGGGTATTTGTAACGTTAGGTAGATAGTACAATTATTTAAAAAAAAAAAGAAATAGATACTTTGTTATGAGACGGACTAAAATGAAAAAATAGATAGTTTATTATGAAAAAAAATCACAATAAGAGTTTATAGATACAATAATGTAGTGCTTTTAAGAATATATTTTATAGCCTAATTATGTAATCAAGAGTGCTTTGTATAGAAAACTATCATAATTATATATATTTAATACTATAATTATGCAAACAAACGACAGCGACTTAGTATATATTAATTGTTTTGAGATAAATAAAATAATGTATATATACATATAATCGTTGATGAGTAGTACTGTCGACAAAAAATTAATAAGTAATTAAATATAATTAACTTTTAGAATAAACATATTTCAAAAGCTTCAGACTTTTTATTTTTCCTAAAATGTTGTTGTATATACATTATTATTATTTTTATGTTTGTTAAAATGCAATATATATATATCATAATTAATTTTGGTTATATATTTTACAAAAATCATAATTAGCGGGGATCAGGTGCACGGAGTATAATCCGTTAGAGCACAAAAAGAATACATGAAAATAATAAGATAATGTTTTCTCGATATATAATACATGCTCTAATTATGTAATCACGGTGTTTTTATAAAAAAAAAACAAACATAATAATTAATTTTATTTTGACGAAAGTACGGATTCGGGTTCCTGCACAAGAACAACCTATACAAATAATAAAATGGAGTTTTTTGTTTATATATTTCATGCTCTTATTATACAATCACAATGCTCTTATAAAAAATTAATATAATTAATTCTCTTTTGAGGGAGCACAAAGTCTGATTGGTTATAGCACAAGAATAGTCCATGCACATAATAAGGTGGGCTTTTTTTTTTTTTTTTTTATGTAATTAGAATGCTTTTTCTATAATTATATTAATAACCGGTACAGATCCAAAAGGAAGACGACGACGACGACACTCCTATCGTTGGCGTCCTGCGCTCCTCGTCTTGCCGCCAGCAAACTTTTCAGAAGCCCACTTCAATATTGTACCTGTCATAGATAATTGCAAAATTTTTTATTTAACTCATAAATTCCGCATTTAAAAATTGTGTGGTAAAATTTAAATTAAATAGACATAAAATCAATACCATTAATATAAACACTATTAAAAGATCTTGAATAAGTGAAAAAAATAAATTAATTATAAGTACCGAATGAAAAAAACTAAGAGGCGATTATAGAAAAAAACGACGTAACTATAAAAAAAATTACTTACAAAAGAAGAGAGAAGTAGACTGAAATTACATATTTACCTTTTAATTAAATATTAACTATTAGATTAACATTTAAATCAACGAATCAAATCAGCAGACTAATGGCCGCATGATGGGATCATACTCCTTACTATGTGTAAAAGTAAGTTCATTCGCTTTTAGTACCAATTTTAATATAGTGTTTGCTTTTTATTTTTTTATAGTAAAAAAGTAATTAAAAATAAAAATAAAAATTGTAAAAAATAGTATAACTTTTTTTTTTTATGACAACCAATAAAAAGTAAACATATATATATTTTTAATGACAAATGGAGTATTTTATAAGCTAAATATAAATTGCAAATGATTATTCAAAAAAAAAAAAAAAGAAAGAATGAAATAGAACTTAGCTACGGTCTATTCACACTGACATGTAAATGTGTCAAGTTTTGATTTGAAATTAAATTTTGATTGAATTTTAATCTAAATGATAGTATATTTTATATAAGATTGTATGAGAAAAAACAACAATATTTATTGGACAAAGTGAATAGTAATAATTTTGATTTTTTTTTCTTAAAAAAAAATCAAACTCACCCTAAGGACTCTTATCAAATACTACATTTGAGAAATTTTAAGGGTTTGTTTAGTATTTTGATTTGATTTTTCTTTTACGTGAGATATAGAAAATAGTGTTGATTATATAAAAAATAATATTTTACATTTAATATTGACTTTTGTGAAATGATAATATATATATATATATTAAGAATTGTGTCGAAAAAAAATTGTGAGAAAACAAACTCTAGCATTTTTGGATTAGTGAATAACAATATTTCTACCCTTTTTTTTTTGTTGTCATAGTCTATGAATATAAACTTTACAGTTATTTTCTCCAATTTCGCCGGTAAGTAGTCCAAAATAAAAATATTGCATACACAACCAAAAGCTCAAAAGTAACCAACCATAGACTTTGTGTTCCAAAACTTTTCAAAAGGTAACGGAAGATACAACATTTGAAAGTTGATTAATCGCGAAGATTGTAGCGCTCATTGATTCACAAGCCCAAAAATTCTCTTTGAACATTTCTTTCTCTACCATACTTTGACATTTTTCTACAAAATGTCTAATTTTTCTTTTCGCCATGTCTTTTTATCGGTGAGATGTTTGAAATATGTAAATTGATAACAAATTCAAGGTGGCGGCTACAGTTCTGAATTTAAAATTCAGCACTGTACTGACAATACATCGAAGCACACGGTGTGTTGTCAGATAGCACACATTATTACTACCGGCAGCATACCGTCTGCATTAGTATAATACAAATACAGCACATGCTATAGTCTTATACAACACTACTAATACTTGATTTCAGCTAATCATATATTGTTATACAACACATTTATAATTATGAACTCACAACACAATACAACACATGAACTGACAGCACATGCTATAATCTTATACAACACAAATACTAATTGATGTCAGCACAATGCTTACTGATATACAACACGCTATAATTATAAAGTAACAACACTTGTTATTATTATACACAAACATGTGTTGTGTATAATAAGATCGCGTATTATTTGTATATATTACGGGAATCAGCACCGTGCTGAATTGCTGAATTTCTCAATTCAGCGTACCCCAAATTCAGCAATTTTGCATATAATGGATGAACTACGTAGAATTGTATTTCTTTCATTCTCAATTTACAAATAAAGAATCTTCTTATTCTTATCTACTTCAACTTCAATATTTTCTTTAAATCGTACATATTATGTCTATTTTCGTCTCAAATTGAAGAAGACCATTCAACATTGACCTTTTCATGATCACATTTAGCTTAAAATAGCTAATGTGACTTGGGCACATATGTAGTAAATATATTTCATTTTTTCAAAGCTTCTTTATCTACTTGTCCAACATCATATAAATTGACTTTAATCTTTTTCATTGCATTTTTTATTCCTTTAAAATCTTAAAATCTCAATACACCTTCACATCTTTTTGGACCAAATAAATAAATATATAAAAACAAATAAATGTAACTAAAAAATTTAAGGATTGTTGACTTTCATTTAGCAAATGTAAATGATATCATACTGAGGATTGGTTACAAACTTATTAATTATTTTATAGCAATTAATTTATGGTCTAGAGTTAAAGTTTTTTTTAAAAAAAAATAAATAAATAATTTTTTTTACGAATATTATTTAAAGTTTGAGTTTCTTTTATACGAAATTTGAGGTTTGTTATTGATTATTAATAATTTTTTTCTTCATTTAATTATAGCCATTGGATATTATATTTATATATAGTAATCTATGATCACGAATCATGTCATGTGCCTAATTGTAATTAAGGAATGAACTCATCAGATTGTTTTGATATTCAACAATTGTATTTTTTTTTTTTTTTTTGGAGTTTCTTTGATAGACTGTATTAATACGAAATTGAAATTCTTTATATTAATAACATTTACATATTTATAATAATTTATAAAAAGTCTAAATAAATTTAAAATTCTATCGATCATTTAAATAACATAAATATCATAAATATAATATATTTATATATATATATATATATATAATGGTTTGAACATAATCTTTTGCAAAATAAATAATAAGCTTTATTTAAAAATTAGTTAGTAAAAAAAATAAAATAAAATCAAACTAAACATAAAGCCTAAGACTCCTTATAGATACACTTTTTTTTAAATCTTCATATCATTTATCAGTAATAATTTTTTTAAAATTATTATATGTAAATAGTACATGTTTTTTTATTTAAAATATTACCTTAAAAATATATTTTTTTATATAAATATCATATAAAATAGGGTAGTGTATTTTATTTATTGCGTGGAACCCTTGGTGTTAATCATGTAAAATTTGCACGAAATATTCTCACTGTTTGAAACTGATGTTTAGTTCTAAAAAAATTTAAATTATACAAGTTTTATAAAAATATATATATATAAAATATGTTAAATAATATTTTTGAATAAAATAAATAAATAAATAATTGATTAATCATTCATTTTGTAATTTTTTGGAGACAAATTGTTATCTGATTTTTAGAAATACTATAAAAATAAATGATTTATTTATTTTATTCAAAAAAAATATTTAAAATATTTCACGTTTCTTTTATTGATATAAAACTTGTTTAATTTAGGTCATTATTTTAGAATCAAACAATAATTTTGGATAAGAAATGTATTTCGTGGAGACATTACATTAACACAAAAAGTTTCAGACAATAAATAAAACACAGTGCATTAGAAAAAAAAAATATTATATAATTTACCCTATAAAATACTTTAAAAAAAATGAAGAAAAGATTACCATAAAATAGCACCATAATATTAGTTCATAATATCATCTTGTCATTAATTCTAGTAATATTATTTTAGTAATTTAAAGTTAAATTAATTGTTTATTGTAATACATTGTATAAAAATTAAAAAAAAAAAAAGTTGAATGTTAGATATAATATTATTTTCAAAAACTAAATAAATAGTAGTTTTTAAAAAATATGTTCATTTTTCTCTATAGTAACATTATCATAAAAAATAAAATCTTGAAAACCAAAAGCATGCAATTTCTCTCCATATAGAATCACAACAAATTTGTCACAATCGAACATCTTCACAACATTTCCATCACACCAACGTTATGATCAATCAATCAACACGCGCCGCCGCCGCCGCCGCCGGCCTCGCCAACGCCCGCCGCCACCAGACCTCGAAAGCCCGCTGGAGATTAGGACAGCCATCGCCGTTCGTCAGAAAACTCCCGAGCCACGAAAGCAAGAGGGCCCGCTGATCCTCCATCGGGAGGGTCAAAATCGTCCTCCCGATCCCCTCCTCGACAACATCCCGGTCGAACAATCTGCACCCGTGCTGCAACCACTTATAGTCGTCGATCAGCGGCGGCAGCCACAGATTCAGCAACGAGTGTCGCGTTTCCTTACACGAAAGCACCGCCCCCTGTCCGATCAAGACAAAGATTCTCGCGCTAACCAAACTAACATAATGGCGAACAACGACAGGAATCCCCGAATGGATCGAAACCAGCTCGCGCTGATTTGCCCAAATCACGGCAACGTCGTCCCCCGCCTGCCTGTCGGATAAAATATCGAGCATCCATAAAAGGTTATCCGCCTGTAAAGCAATCGGCTTCGCCGCAGTTTCTCTTACACTCATAGGTTTGTCATCCAGCTTGGCTTCGGCGGCTTGTCTGAACAGAGACAGCAGAGAATCTAGGGATGCTTGGAAAGCAGCGAAAATGGTTTCATTACACGAGCCGTCGGCGGACGAGGATGAAGTGCCGCGGAGGAGTTTGAGTACGATCGACTTCATTTCCCGTCTCCCCTTTTCCTCTTTGCTTTCGAGGACTAACTCCAATATGCGACAAAGTGTGTCCTTCGGCGGCTTTTCGGTGACAGACGATACTCGTTTTAAAACTGCCCCGACTCCGATGCCGTGACCCTCGAGACGAGTGACGGATGCGACCACTTTTTCTTCCTCATCCTCGCCCACCCACGGAACGGCTTCCAAATATTCCAAACACGATCGGATGCATTTAGTGAAACCGAGTCGCTCCCCGACCTAGACACATTTAGATAAATATTTTGTAAGAGAAAATGTAGCGATAACTGAAAACAATAAGAAATCTATTTCCTACTTAACACTACCACAAAATGTTAATTTATCTAGGAAAATTATCTTGGAAATAATTAGTGAGACAATTTTATGTAACAGAATCTTTCTTTAAGACAAGTTAGTGTCTTAGTCAAGGTTTGAGATATTACTGCTACAATTTATCTCGACCATAATTTTTAAGGTTATTTCATGACAATTGCCGAGATTTTTCAATTAAATTAATTGTCTCGTATCTAAAAAGATTCCAAGACAATTATTTTGAGATAATTTTACACTTTTCTAGTAGTGTAAGGATTCAAACAATTGTAACAATACAATTGCGCCCCCTTATAAATTTTGTAGCGAGCGAGCAAAATTTCAAACGAAAAGAAACCACCGAATTCTCATAAAAAAACACACTTTTAAGAACATCGATCAAGTACCTTAAAGATTTGTGGTAACTTTCTAAATTTCATAGCAATTTAGCAAAATATCCTTAAAAGAGGGATATGAATTCAACATCTCATAAACAAAAACATTAATTCTCAAGAACAACGATCAGCGACTACCTCAAAGATTCGCAGCAAGTTCTAAATCTTATACCCATTTAGCGAAATATCCTTCAAGAAGGGTATGAATTAAACATCAACAAAAAGCGACCCCCAAATTTCTCAAGAAAATCGATCATCATCTTCCTCAAAGATATGCAGCAATTTCTAAATTTTATAGCCAATTAGCAAAAAGTCTTAACAGAAGGAAATGAATTGAACATCAACAAAAACGACCACCGAATTCTCATAAACGTAAATATTAATTCTCAAGAACATCAATCATCTACTAATTTGCAGCAATTTCTAAATTTTATACCCATTTAGCAAAAGGGACAACCAAATTCCCACAAACAAAAGCATTAATTCTCAAGAAAATCGATAATCAACTACCTAAAAGATTCACAGCAACTTCTAAATTGTAAAGCCAATTAGCAAAATTTCTCATAATCAAAAGCACTCTCAAGAACATCGATCATCAACTACCTTAAGTATTCGCAGCACACGGGGAACACTCTGCTTGATCAACTGCTGCTTCATTTCTTGGCAGTACATAAGGCCAATGGTTTCGGCATAAATCTCAACATCGTCACAGTTATCAATTTCAAGACAAGGGAAAACAGGCTGCTGTTCGGATATCCTAGTGGCAAAAAAGCTGCTGTTTTCGACAAGTATACTTCTATGAACACTCAGCTTCACAGTAATCCCCTGTTTTCCAAGCAGGATCACCTTTAAATCACCCGTGCCCGCCTCACCGTACTCGATGGTAACCTTCCTAGGCATATTTTCGACCTTATTCGGCCCCGGCCTGCCGGCCTTTTCATTGGACAATGGAGCATTAAGAACAATTGCATCAGAACCATTGGCTCTTTTCTCATCGACAACAAGAAGGCCAGCATTTGTTGGACCTGATTTCACCTCATTTATCGAAACTTTCTTAGGCTGAATTGAAGAGTTTTGAGATGGTTGTTTAGCTTTGTTCAGAGATGGCTGTGGCTTAAATGGCTTTTGAAAAACTCCTGGAGAAGGGCAACACCAGAAGCCCTCTGGGGTCACTGCAATTGGGACGTTTTTAATCTTCGTCTGCCCCTTTTCTAACCTAGGAACCCTAATTTCCGCCATGGGAGTGGAGATTTCAAGCTCGAATCGAATCACAGTGCAGTGAATTCATTAATTGAAGAAGAAATTACAAAACCCTAGAAATTGGGGGAATTTGGGATAAACAAAAGCAATAACAAGCAGCAGAAAATCCCTAATTACAGGATATAAATCGATTACGAAGAAGAGCAAAAACAACCCATCAGATCAAATTGGCCAAGAAATTGAAGAGAAGGTTAGTATTGAAAGGGCTTCTTTGTTACCAATTTCTTGAAAGCTTCGAAATCTGGGAGATTTCTGATATCTTTCTTCCTCATTAATGTATTTAGGAGCAAGTAAAAATGATTTGGGAGTGCTTTGATGGCAAGCATCAAGGGAACCGCTTTAAGAAAGGAAGTGGAATTATCAATCATGAAAGAAGGCTACCAAATTAATAATTTTTTTTTAAAAAAAACGTATAAAAGCTACAGACTCACATGGCGAACTGGAGAGAGAGAAAAGCTGAAAATTTGATGCAAAACCGTTAAGGGCTATGGCTGTTTTGGTAAGTTGCAGACGCAACTGGAGCTTTCTGTTTACATTTTTATATTTCCAATTTTTTTTTTCATCATAAATACTGACATCATTTGCTTTGTAGGTCTTTTATGGGAGACGATATTATTGCTTCACCTCTGTCATTATTCTTCTTTCTCATCATAAAACCAATAAAGGTTGTCAATTATTTATTGGGCCCAGAATATTTTCCTTTAGATAATTTTAAATTTTTTTATACTTATTTATTATTAACAAAACAATATTTTTTTAAAAAAATTAGTCTTTCAGTCTGATATATATATTTTTTTTAAATTTTAAAGATATTAGTATTATATTGGGATATAATTAAAATAAAAATAAAAAGATTAAATTAATTTTATTAGTATGATATAATACAAATGTAATGATATTAGTATAATATATTATAAATTAGAAGAGTACTTGTAATATCAGGTAGGTAAATAGTACAATTATTAAAAAAAAAAAATATTTTGAACGAAAATATAAAAATTGATAGATTGTCAATGGACGAGTATTACATAAATATTATTTTAAATATTTATAATATTATCAACGGTAATTTTAGGTCTTCTAACTGTATTTTTTATAACTGGAATATTATATTCGCTTAGTCTAAATTATAATTACTTTTTGCGTCATTTATTTAACATTCAAAATATTTCCAAATATCACCATTTCTTTAGTAGGAATCGAAAAAAGCAATAGAAATAAGGTACTTGGATACCCATATAATTAAACTTCAATGGAAAAGAAAACCCTAATTATATTCAAAAATTAGCAAAAGAACAAAAGTTGAAAAAGAGTGGACCACCTCACTCACTCATCATATGGTTTTGAAAACCCTTTTTCACTTTCTCTTCTTTTCTTACATCCTTATGATTATTTGTCGACGATAGCCATGGCCATGGACCATCCAAGGTTAAGGTTTCATCCAACTCTTCAAGATAGGATGCATGCAGATGCAGAGATCTTGACTGTGTCCTAAAAAGACACCACAATCCATCATCACTGCTCTCCCTAATTTTCTCATTAAACAGATTCCACGTGTAACGAGTCGGATCGTTCGTACTCGAATAATTACTCTTTGTGGGCTTCACGACACTCGGTAGCCTTACTAGAAGTCTCATTACACTACTACAAATGCACACAATGTGAGAAAATTTTTAACATAGAAAATCTAAAACTCACTTGACCTAGTCCCGTAAGGGATGATCTGGTAGTTTAAGGGTGAACTCGTGACTACGGGGTCCTGGGTTTAAATTTTTTACGCCTTTGAATTTTGTCTACCACACATAATTCGTTTCAGCTTGATTGTGATTGTATGTTTCTTGTCTGCCACACATGGTTCGGTTGAACTTAGGGTGTGTTTGTTTTGGGGTTTGGATTTTGAGTTGGAATTTGAATAGTAAAAATTTTGAATTGGAAAAGTTGTATGATGTGATATAAATAGGTTTTGATATAATATTTTGAATGTAAAATTAATTTTTAATATAATATAAAAAATAAAAAAATAAGTGTTTGATTTGATGTTTTTGGGAGAAAAAAAAATGAGATGAATAGTGAAAATTAAATCCAATCCCCCAAACAAACACACATTTGTTCAGTAATTAATTTGCCAATGATCTAAGAGGGCAGATATAATATTAAAAAAAATCTTTTTAAAAAAACATATGAAATCAAGAAAGTCAAATTTCAACACCTAATTCGAAAAAATAAGGGTTAACTTGATTTGCAGAGAACAGAAGAGACAGGAAGAAAGGATCCAAATCAGATTATGGCTACAGACAGTAGCAAAGATTCATCACTGAGAATTTGTCATCTGTTAATGGCTGCCCTTTTCGCCCTCTCCACCTGCTTCCAATTCAACGATCCAGGTAAGCAAAATTAACAAATCAATCCAAAAATCAGAAAAATCAAAATAAAATTAAAAACCCTAATCCCCAAATCCCATTAACCATCTTCAATTAATCTAATTTTCTTGCCAATAATTAAATCAATTCCAGATTGGTATTTATGGATTCCTCTGTACGCCGCCGCTTGTGCTGCCAATTTGAAAATTCCCAATTCGAAAATATTGGCCAAGTTTGGATTTTGGGTTGGAGCTTTCTTGTTTGTAAAAGTTGCTGCAATCGAGGGGGTTCTTGGGGGGACACGTGTCGCCTGGTCATTGGGTATGAAGGATAGGGTTGTGAGGGAGACATTTGGGAGTGGGCTGGTGGTTAGTTCCATGTTCTTGTGCCTGGAAAATCCATCCAGCTCGAATCATTCTGGCACACTTTCAAAATATGGTAAATTTTGTATCATTATTAATTACTGATTAAGGATGTCAGGATCGACTGCCCGATTTGATGTTGTCTTGTTTTAGGGTTGAAGATGCTGGTTGGAGTTTCGTACGGCCTTAGCTTGTTCTTCTTTGCATTTCAATATGGCGAAATGAGGTACTGATAGTTATTGTATTGTTTTGTAGAATTTTTTAATGTTTGTCGAAATTTTGGGTGATTTGGTTGTGTTTCTTACACTGCTGATGATATGACTGATGAAGAATGTTTGATGAAATTGACATTGTTGCTTGACTGGTCTGATCGAGACATGTATTTACCGGAATTAATTACTCCCTCAAGTTGTTCGATGAAATGCCTCCCGAGGAATTTTTGCAGTAGACATTTTGTTCGATTAAATTCCACAGCTGTTGGCTTTGTTTACTTATTTTTTGAAAAAACTTTGAAATATTGTCCTATGTACGGCTAAAATATAATTAGTAAGTAATTAAAAAATTTATTAGTATAATTATAAATTAAAATTAAAATAACTAAATAGTTTAATTAAGATTAAAAAATTATGAAATATAATTAAAGTGTATAATTATATTTAAAAAAAAAATAAATTATGTGGGAGTTTAATTAAGATTAAAAAATTATAAAATATAATTAAAGTGTATAATTATATTTAAAAAAAATTATGTGGGGCGGATGGAGTAATTATTATATAAATACATAGTATAAATTAAGAAAAAAATACAAAAGTATTTTTATTAGACACTTATAATACAAATTCAATAATATTTTTGGAGTAAATTATACAAATATAAGAATATTTTTAATGTTAAACACAAAAGACAAATAGTGGTCGGGACGGAGGGAGTATCAAAATCATTGCTTTATGTGATAGTTTTAAATGATAAAGATAATTATGTTATTTAATATATATATATATTTATATGTTATACTTTCTTTAAGATAGTTTCTAGTTTATTATTATTATGATATTTTTTTATAAAAAATAAATTTATTTTTCTTATTTATCTATCATAAAAATAAATAAATAAATAATTGTACTAGTTTTTCAAAAAGAATTATATCATTTTTAATCATTTTCCTATTTATAAAAATAAAGAAGCACAAACAACATTAAAAATTGTGTTCAAACTAAACAAGTTTATTTTTATATGAGAATAATATTTATAAAAACATAGTATTATTGTATTTAATAAAAAGATACATTCAACAAAATTCAAATAAATATACATGATTCACTTAAACTTTAAGAGAGAAAATTGTGACCAGCAATAAAGGGTGTGTTTGTTTAGTATTCTAATTTTAACTATGTTTTTTTTTTTTTTTTTTTTTTTTGGAGTTATGAGAAATTGCATCGTTAATATATAAAATAATATAGGAAAAAATTATTTTTTATCACAATATAATTAAAATTTATCAATTTTATAAAAATTATCAATTTTGGTCTCAATATAATAAGAATTTATCATTTTTTGTCTCAATATAACCAATATTCATCATTCTTGGTCTAAATATAAATTTTTAATTAATGTTAGTCTAAATATAACCAAAACTCATCATTTTTTGTCCCAATATAATCAAACTTTATCTTTTTTTGTCCCACCGTCAACAAACCGACGGAAAATGCTGACGTGGACTTGGAAGATTGTGCAATTTTTTCGAATATAAATATAAGGTTTGATTTTTTTTCACATCAATATTTTCCGTCGGTTTGTTGACGGTAGGACAAAAAAAGATAAAGTTTGATTATATTGAGAACAAAAATAATGAGTTTTAGTTATATTGAAACCAAAAATAATGAGTTTTAGTTATATTGGAACCAAAATTGATAAGATTTTTATATTGGGACCAAAATTGATGAATTTTGATATATTGACACTAAAAATAACTTTTTCCCAAATAATAATTTATAGTATTAAAAGTGTTTTTTGTTAGAAAATATAATATGAATTGTATAGATAAGAATTTTGAAATTCATCCAAACAAACCCACTCTCCCAAGTGGTATTTCCTAGAGCTAGGAACTGGATGGGCCGGGCTAATTAGGCCCAGCCCAACAAACTTTATCATTTTTTATTTTTAGTCGGTTTTAATGGGCTCATAATTATATTTAAATTATATTTTTTAAAATTCAGAACAATTCTAGGTAGGCTATGGAGAAACCGGTTGAGCCAATAAAAACATTAAAAAAAATTGGGTAAATTATATAATATTCTCTTATATTTTATTAAAAATTTATATTTTATTGTCCAAAAATGATGTTTAATTCTGAATAAAGATCTAAATTAGTTTTATAAATATCTTAAATATCTTTTAAATAAAATAAATAAATATATAATTGAGCAATTATTTATTTTTATAGTTTTTTGTAAAAATTATATAAAAATTTATTTTAAAACAATTATAAAATAAAAGATTAATCAATTATTTATTTTGTTTATTTTATTCAAAAAAATTAGTATTTAAGATATTTCATCTTTTTTATTTGTATATTTACAATCAAATATCAATTTTGGACCAAAATGGTATTTCGTACAAATTTTACATTAACATAATGAGATTTTACGTAATAAATAAAATGAGAAATATTTTATACATTTTTACTAAAATATAAGAATGTGTTATATAATTTACCCTATTTTATTCGAAAGATAAAACCTAGAAATAAATTTTACTATATTTTAGTTACCCTTAATTAAATAATTTCAATTACATAACTAGACAATAATATATATATTTTTAAAACGATAAAAGACATTTAGTTACCAAAAATAGTTAAATTGTCAAGCGAAACGATAAAATTTATATCGCAAATTATGGATTCAAGTCTGCAATTTTTTCAAATTTTGTCTGTAACATATAGTTCATCCTAAAATTAACGGCGTGATTTAAAAATAAAAATAATTTTAAAAATGATCCAAATAAATCAAATATATTCTCTTATAATAATATCGAATATAATAATTTGCAAATTATATTAAAATTAAAAGAATTACAAAAAATTTAAACTCGTAATTCGAGAATTAAAATTGAGTGACGAACAAACCCAATGATTGCATAGAGCCATAATGGTTACAGCTCATTGACATTGAATTTAGGGATCATTGGATTCTTCGACCTGACCTCAGCTGAATCTCAAGTGCAAGGAATGGACAACCAACTTATTTATTTATTATTTAAATATGCCTGAATTTTGCATGGCCCATCAAATCATATCTCATTATTTGGCTCCATTCATGCATCAATATAATTAATCTTATTATCCATTACTCAACCCTTTTTTTTATATATATAATATTCATCAAGGCTTGTTGAGATAGAAGCCAGAGAATGTTTTAAATAACCTTGGAATTAATTATATATATTTTTTCTTGGTATAATTTTTGTTTGATTATTTTTCTAATGATTATTTTCTTTTTGGTTTTTGTCTATGTGTGATTGTTACATTTGTAGTTATTATCTATGTGTATCCTTTTTTGTTGTTCCTTAGTGAATATTTTGTGTTTGTGTTTTCGGGTTTTTTTTTTTTTTTTATTTTTTATTTTTATGGTAGTGTTCGACCAAACTATGTGTTTTTGTTATTTATTTAGTGTTTTGTGTTCCTCTCGGATTGCTTGTGTTCTTCCTGGGTAAGATGTCCCATGTGGTTCTGTCTCTGGAGATTCTTGTGATAATGATCGATCGATCCATGTGCTTAGACTAAAGAACTTTGTTCTTAGCCCATCAAGTTTTGTACTTAAGCGGTAGAGTTGTGTGTCTAAGTTACTTTTTGCGCCTAAAACTATGTGTTGTTCTCTAGTTAACGTCAAATAAAGTGGAGCTCTTGTTATGTTATTCTAAGTTTTGTTTGGTATATATTTACATTGCTTTGTGAATATACATGTATATTGTTGAATTATGAAATAGTTTGTGTGCTCGCTTAAAATTTGTAGATTCACGTGTTGAATCTGTTCAAATTTATTTGTATGCTTATATAGTTTTGTAGTAACTATATGTATACACGTGTTAGATTATTGTGTATTCAATTTAGGTGCATATTAGAACCTATGTGTTCTTTCGGTGTGTGTTTAGGGGATTTTTACCAAATTTTTCTATTTATTTAATTTTTTTTTCAAAAACATCAAATCAAATATCTATTTTTTATTTTTTATATTCAAAACTATCACATCAACACCTATTTATATCACATCATACAACTATTCACATTCAAAATTTTTACTATTCAAATCTCAATCTAAAATCGAAACCCCAAACAAACACATGTGTGTTATCTTTAATGTGTATTTCGGTTTGTTCATAGACGTAGCAAGAGACAAAAGGTGGGGATGAAATCTAATGGTGTAGGTAAAACTACATGTATGTAAATATGTAACTGAAAGTTGGTTATATAGCAGTCAAATTATTGAAAATTTTAGCCTTTCGAAACCTTTTTTTTTTTTTTTTTTTTAATTATACAACTATTGTTATCTTTTTAATAAAATACTACTTCCGTCTGCCTAGGGTACATTTACCTTTTGCGTTATTATATTTCACATTAAAAATATCCTTATATTTGTATAAAAAAAAATTTGTACAAAATATTTTTCTATTAGTATTATAAAACACTAATGGAAGTATTTTTGTAATTTTTTCTTAATTTCTACTATATTTTAATATAATAATTAACATTCAAATATCAATACGGAAAACTAAATGGAACAAAATGTAGTATTATTATAGTTAACCCTATTTAAACAAAAATACAAAATTATAATTAACAAAGACTTAACAACACAAAATGCAAATAAACTGCCAAACACATTTTACACCATCTACAGAAAATGGTCTCCTACGGGAAATTACTAAAACGCCCCTCCCTACTCAGGTATGGCGGTTAACCTCTCCGCAAACTTCCCCCGTCGCGGGGCGCCGCCGCATCGCCGCCGCCTCCGCGAACCCCCAGCGGTGGCCTTCGCGCCATTCTCTCCAGAGAATTCTAGAGCGTTCCTGCAACTTCCGATGCAATCTCCGAGGGCGGAGCTTGCTTTGACGGCCAATGCCGCCATATCCTCCGGCTGCAGTCGGCGCCTCAGCCGGCTCAGCGGCAGCGCAAAATAGAGCTGACCTGACTGCAGCTCCTCGCCGTCGTTCATGGCCGATACGACGCCGTCGAAATCTAGGTCGTCGGAATTGCAGACGAAACAGCCTGCGACGGAATTGATGTTGTGCAAAACGTAAGAAACGTTGACAGGACAGTGAAATTCCTGTAAAGTTCCGTCGTCGAGAATCAATTTGGCGGTGATCGGAAAAGTTGATTCGCCGGATTTGCAGACGTCCATACTCGTCTTCTTCATTGATCTATTGTTTCTTCTTCAATACACAGAGAGAGATGTATATCAGTATATATTTATATATATATTAATTTGTATGTATATATGTGTAGGTGCGTAGGGAAGGAGGTGAGTAGGGAGTAGGGAGTGCCAGGCTGTCAGCGAGCTGGAATCATATACGGAAAGGATTGCGTCGTTATGGTGTGGCCCACTTTTAAATACTAATGTTTTGTCGTTTTCCTATCTCTTTTTTGCTTTGTATTTTTGTTATGTAGTTTAATTTAGACCATATATAATTAACAAAAAATTTAAAAATATATTGATAAAATAATTATTAGTATATAATACTATTTCTTTCCCATAAAATTAGTAACATTATATTTTGTACATAAATTTTTTAATATTAATATTATATTAGTTTATAATAAAAATGACAAAAATATTTTTATTAGATTGTGTGATATAAATGTAACGATATTTGTATAATATATTTAAAGTTGTAAGAAGGGACAAAAATAGAAAATAATATCTTATTTTGAGATGGACAAAATTAAAAAATTGTATCATTCCAGACGGGAATAGTATAATACTTATAAATTAAGATTAATAATTATAAATAATTTAATTAAAATTAATAAAATTATAAATTTTAAAATTTAAAATATAATTAAAATGATGTAAAAATCGACAAAAATAGAAAAAAAAAGATGAAAATGAATGCTTTATGAGGACAGAAAGAGTGTTATATGTTGATTTGATGTTATTATGCTGTCATTATCTATCTGTTTATTTTGTTATTTAGATATGTTGAAAATTAATTTATTTACTTTTTAATAATTATGCTTTTTTAATTCAATAAAAAATATATTTATATTTAACACATCATTATAAAAAAAAAAAAAGGGCTGTAAAAAAGCACATGAGTTTATAGGGATAAAAAAAAGACTTGATATTTTATTTATTTATATTTACTTTTTAAATAAATACATAAAAAAAAGCCGGTAGACCAAAAGAAACTTATGAGATAAAATAATATATTATTTGTATTCATATATTTATAGCTTTTATTATTATTTTTTTAATTTTTATCAATTTATTTTATTTTTAATTCTTTGTATCCATATATCATAATATATTATACATAAATTCAAAAGAATTAATTTACATTCGGATATAAAAATAAAAAAATAAAAAAATTTATTAATTTACATTTTATACAAACATGTAGAAGAGATGGAGCATTTGGGTGTGTTCACTTTGTGTTTGTTAGTAAAAATATTATTGATGTTACGTACGAAAAATTGTATTGTAAATGTCAATACTCAATATGATATTGAATGATATTACTAAATACTTCCAATTTTTGATGTACTTATTTATTTATTTTTGTTTGTCTCATTTAAAAAATATATATTCTATTATAGTAAATTTATAAATATACAAATATCAAAATAATTATGACTTTTATAAAAAAAAAAATTACTTCTTTTGTACTTAGAACAACAAAAATATTAAAACTATTTTACATAATTATACTATTTAATAAAATATTATTATCTTTTAATCTATTATAAAATAAATAAATATATACATGCAATTGGATTGAAAATATTATTTTATATTTAACTTTTTTACTAGTTTCAAATCTATCCAAAATATTGAGAAAAATTTAAAATATATCTAAATACATTATATTCCTTTCTTTCCATTCAAACTTACAATTTTTACAATTTTGGTATGCCTTTACAAATGTATCTTATTTCTTTACCTTGTAGTAAAAATAATATATATATACATATATTAATACTAAATTATTCTTATTTTTTTTATATAAAGTATTAATGTATAATTATATATATAGCTAATTTATATATAAAATATTCTCTCCGTCACACATACCACATTACTAAATTATTCTTATTTTTTTTTATATAAAGTATTAATGTATAATTATATATATAGCTAATTTATATATAAAATATTCCCTCCGTTACACATACCATATCCACGTTGCTGTTTCTGTCCGTCCTACATTCCATGTCACTTTTATTTATTGGAAAATGACTACGCACTTTAATCTCATTTTAAACATTTAAATTTATTTTTTAAATTTTTTTTAATTAAATTAATTAGTTATCTTAATCTTAATTTATAATTATTTATATTATAAAATAATTATTTTTACTAATACATTTTTAATTATCTACTAATTACATACTAATTACATCTCTCCTAAAATACTATATCTACAGTGTAGCAGATACGATATATGGGATGGAGGGAGTAATAAATTATTTTTTTTAAAACTTTTAAAAAATATACTCCCTCCGTCCCATAACAAAGTATTCATTTTTTCACTTTAGTCTGTCCCATAACAAAGTATCCATTTCCTTTTTTAGTGATTGTACTATCTACCTAACATTACAAATACCCTTACAACTTGCAATATATTACACAAATGTCATTATCTTTATATCACACAATACTATAAGGGTGTGTTCGTTTGTAGGGTTTTAACAAAATCCTACTATTCATCCAAAATTTTTCCCCAAAAAACATCAAATCAAACACCTATTTTTCATTTTTTATATTATACTAAAAATCAATTTTACATTCAAAACATCACATCATCACCTATTTATATCACATCATATAATTATTCAAATTCAAAATTTTTACTATTCAAATCTCAACTCAAAATCCAAACCCCCAAACAAACACATCCTAAGAATATTTTAGTCATTTATATTTTATTCTTACTACACCTCAATATAATACTAATATTTCTAAAACTCAAAGCAAAAAGCAAATTGATACGTAGTTATGGGACGGAGGGAGTATATTAGATCGGGGATAGTATATACTTCCTCAATCGCAACTGAATATATATATTTTTTTTATCATTTTTGTCACTTCCACTAAAAAGTATTATTCCCTCTGCTGTGACGGATTAAGGTTAAATGATCGACTAACAAACAAAAAACGTAGAAAAGACAAAGATTTACGTGGTTAAAAAAAGCGAGTTTGCTACCTCCACGGACAGAAACGGATAACTGATTTTATTGCAGGATTTGAGCCGCTTGGCCGCATGGCCTGGTCGTTTGGCTTAGCCTAATGGCAGCCTGTCAGAATGGGAATACATGTCTATTTATAGTATAACTTATGTCAATAATATTTGAATCATATATCTAAATTTAGGATATAATATCTAATATCTAAATCATATCTGTAGAATATAATACCTAATATCCAAAACATATCCCTAAATTCAAGGCATATCAACACCCTCCGTCCCACAGCATTAGTCTAATTTCTTTTTAGTACAAAATTTAAGAAGTATTGTGTTATGTAGGTAATTACTAGTTTGATTTAATATTTGTAATGTAATTTTATTTTAATTATTTTTTTGTTAGATAATGAAAAACTAAAAATTAAAATAATATTATTTATTTTTTATATTAAATATTTTATTTATTAAAATTAATTTTAAAAAAATAAAATATTATGCGAACTCTAAAATAATACAAGCAATTACAAATATTTTACTCCTAAAAATACTTTGACTGATTTCTTTTATACAAATAAGATGGAGATAAATAGAATGGGTAAATATACCTTTTAACTTTTATATAATTACAAATATATCATATAAATATAAATAATTTATACATATAGTACAAATAATAAAAATATCAGAATCATCTTATATATTTTTACTAATTAATAAATTATTATTATTTTTCTAATTTATTATAAAATTTCAAATAACTCATTATTTTACAAAATATGTTTATGAATATTATGCGATGATCTAATTAAAAATATTGATAAATTTATACCCCACTTAGAAATTTTTATATAAATCCATCGGTAAGTTTCATTAATATATATATATATATATATCAGGATATGTATAATAATTAATAATTGGCTGTAATCCAATTACATAATTAAATGAAATAAAAACAAATTAAATTAAATTAAATTAAAAGAGAAGGATGGATACATGCATTGTATAATAAATGCATTGAATTTGTTAGGTTCATATCAGTTCCAATAATGGGCTAAGGCTATACACATAGGAACTATGAAATCGATTGTGGTAAACACAGTTTTATAATATGCATTTAGTTCTTTTATTATTTCAAATAAAAATTAATAATATTTACTTAATTCAGTTTTTAATAAAAATATTTTTTTTTGTATTAATTCAAAATATTATTTTTACCATTTTCGTCAGTTTCAATTCAAAGTATCACTTTCCTATTTTAGTAAAAGTAATCATACATTATACTGAAATAGCCTTAACTTTAACCTAAATTACGAGCATACTATTATACATACAATTATTTTTTACATATAGTCAAAGGGCAAAAATATCTTTTAAAAAAAAATCATGCATACTTCCACTAACTAATAAAATATTATTATTTCTTAATCTATTATAAAATCTCAAAGTACTCATTTGGACCAGGACGGAGAGGGTATTATTTTCTCTTATAAAATATCAAAATACTATTTAAACAAAAATTCAAATCAACACCACATTTCAAATTAATTTAAAATCACAAATAAACACAACCATGGTGATCATGTGGTTATAACTTCAATATATTTAGGATGCAGAATAAGTGCGAAAACATAAATAAACAACACACATGATTTGTTGACACAGTTCAATATAAAAATCTGTTTGTTTTGTGAGATTGTTGAAAAATATATATATATTTTTTTATGTGAGATATATGAAATTATGTATAAAATATAAAAATAATGATTGTGTGTAGTGTATTACTTTTTTTAAAAAAAAATATGCGAAAAAAAATATATAAAAAGAACAAAGCCTATTTCGAGGAATTCCAATTCAGAAGTGTTTTTTTATTAAATTTATCACCAAGTTTACACGACTCAAGACCACAAACAATTCATATTCAAATTGGAATATCAAATGGTGGATAGTTAAGGGTGTGTTTGTCTGGGGGTTTGGATTTTGAGTTGGGATTTGAACAGTAAAAATTTAGAATTTGAATAATTGTATGATGTGATATAAATAGGTGTTGATGTGTGCTTTGAATGTAAAATTGAT